CTAGTTTTGGTTGTCATGTTCATCAGTCAGAGTGGCAACCCAAGAGGGAGGTGCCCACTGTTTCCTTACTGGGCCCACTCCCACTCTCAGATCTTGCACTCTCCAGGTGATTCTGCAGTTTACCTTAACAGAATTTGCCCCCTGTGCCAGCATCTGCCAGCTGATGCTGCAGCAAAGCCCAGCCAGCCCACACCCACTCTGACTTACGCATGCACAAGAAGGAACAGTCAACCCAGCCTGGCTTTCCCTGATCCAGCTCACATGAGGCCAACAGATGCTATAGCCCTGCCTATCCTGATCTGTCCCCATCCCAACTCATGCTCTCCAGTGGGAGTGGTGGTCCAACAGGGGAGCTTTCCACATCTCCCCTACCGGCTTGTCCCCTTCCCCTCTGGGTCTCAAATGTGCTGGTTGGGCGCTGCAGCCAGTCTGGCATGCCCTGCCTCACCTCATCATTTGCCAGTGGCTATTGCACCCTGGCCAGGCCCACCCTGCCCTCAATTCCACCTCACACTGGTGGGACTATACCCTAGCCTAGCCCATCCGGCACACAGTCCTGACCCTCATGTGAACTGGGTTGTGTTGTGACCCAACCTGGCCCAAACTTCACTCCATCCTGGCGCTCAGATTCAACAGTGGGTGATATGAACTGACCCAGCCTGGTTCGCCCCCAGCCTGTGCCAGATATATGCCGGTGGATACCATTCCCTGGCCTGGTCTGGGCTGCTCCTTATCATGGTTCTTGTGTTCACTTGCAGGGACTGTGACAGAGCTCTTAGGTACTGTTACCTAAGCTCTTCCATAAGAACCTCTCCCAATGTCAGATCTCACACCCATTGGTGGATTCATGGGCCAAGCTCTACTTAGTCTGCCTCCTGTCCTAGCAGAAACAGTGGCCTTTCCTGATTAACCTTCACCTGTTCTGGTTTTTACTGTTGGGTGTTACAGCCTGGCTGGAATTTCAACACAGCAGCCCCTCCCCCCCTGGTGCAGGTCAGCCCACCACCCCCATCCCTGGCTTGGGGAGCAGGACACAGCATCTCTTTTGCTCACCTGCAGAATCTCTGTGGGAAGGGGACTACAAAGAATATTTTTGGTTTAATAGATTCTGGAAGCATTTGAGATGGCGTGTGGTAAATAAGAAGTGTCCTGGGCATTCTTGTCCCCCCTCATGGTGGACACTGCCCTAATGGTCCTGCAGCACCCTCCAGGGAGACCCTCCAGAGGACAGTCAAGGTCAGTTGGAGGACAGAAATGGACGGGGCTAGAGGAAAAAGGGTGCAGGCCAGCCTTGGGAGGAAAGATTAGTGAGAACTCCCTAACAGGAAGGACATAGGAGTGTGTGTGCTGTGTTTTGTATATGGATTGTGTGTGTCATGTGTACATGTGTTCTTACACATGTAGTTGTGTATTATGCTGTGTGTTATTTGAATACATGTGGGTTGTGTGTATCATTTATTGTGGGTTGTGGGTATGTATGTTGTACGTGTTGTGTGTTTATGCATGTGTTAGATGTGTATGTGATATATGTAATTATGTGTGTTGTCATGTGTGTGTTGGATTGTGATGTATTTACATGTGCTGTGTGTTATGTGTGTAGTCTGTGTGTTATGTACGTGTCTGTGTGTTATGTGTAGGTGTTTATCCTGTTTTGCATTGTGAGCTGTGAACTATGTGTTGTATATGTTTGTTGTATATTGTATGTGGTCTATAGGTATGCATATTGTATTGTATGAATTATGTATGTGTTTATTGTATGTTATGTGTTATCCATGTGTGATGGGTGTGGCAAGAAGGCCCACCTGGTGAGGTGTGGCTAGGGTCTCATCCAGGGATGATGATAGTAATCCAGTAATCCACTTCCCATCTAACTCCCTGCTTGTGGCCTGGAAAAGCAGTCGAGGACTGCCCAAAGCCTTGGGACCCTGCACCTGCATGGGAGATCTGGAGGAAGTTCCTGGCTCCTGTCTCCAGATAGTCTCAGCACCAGCCGTTTCAGTCACTTGGGGAATGAATCATCGGGTGGAAGATCTTCCTCTCTGTCTCTTCTCCTCTCTGTATATCTGACTTTGCAATAAAAATAAATAAATCTTAAAGAAGAAGAAGAAGTGCCTGACTAGCACTGGCCTTGTGGCACAGATGGTTAGGACACTGCCTATAGGATTTCATATGCTATTGCATATGGGGTGCAAAGCTGGCATCCCATATCAGAGTCCTGTTTGCTCCACTTCTGATCTGGCTTCTTGCTAAAGTGCCTTAGGAGACCATTTAGGAAGTGAAGCAGCAGATGGGACATTCTCTTTCAAAGAAATAGATTTTTTTTAAAGTAGCAAGTGAGGCCCGGCATGATACCCTAGTGGCTAAATCCTTACCTTATATCCACCGGGATTCCATAAGGGTGCCGGTTTGAAGCCTGGCTGCTCCACTTCTGATCCAGCTCCCTGCTAACGCAGCTCTGGATTGTGCATGCCGGGTGTCTCTCTGTGTGTGACCCACACCCACATATGAAGAATGTATGCTCTCGCTTTCTTTTAAACACATCCTGCTCTCATGTGTACACTGTGCTGATGCCTCTGCTCTGGTTTCTTAGCTTTTTGGGGAACAGGAATTTAGGACACAGGGGGAGTTACCGTGGCCCACATTGGTCTATGGGAAATGTGGGCTTAGGCCAGGAGAGTCAGAGGGTGCAGTATTAGAGCTCTCTCTGCTTAGAAGTTGAGCAACAGCCCCAACCTGCTGCCTGCACTTCACTGCCCTGGCCTGGGCTTCCAGCAAGCACAGCTTGCCCCCTCCCCATGGCCTGTCATCACCCCCTCTTCTCGGAGAGACAAACACACACACACACACACACACACACACACACACACACACACACACACAGAGGGAGGAGATGAGGAATGGACTGAGATGTACAACCACGAGTTCTGAGGTTGGGAGCCAGGGGTACGGTGTAGTAGGTAAAGCCGCTATCTGTGTCACCAGCATCCAAAATGGGTGGCAGTTTGAGTTCCAGCTGCTCCACACTCAATTCAGCTCACTGCTAATGTGTCTGGGGAAGTAGCAAAATGTGGCCCAGTCTACCCACCTGGGAGATCCAGAAGGAACTCCTGGCTCCTGGTTTTGACCAGTCCAGCCGGGCCATTGTGGACATTTGGGAAATTTCTCTGTCTTTCCCTCTCTCTCACTCTGTAAATTCTGCCTCTCAACTAAATAATAAGGTTTTTTTAAAATGTATTTATTTTTATTGGAAAGTCAGGTACACAGAGAGGAGGAGAGACAGAAAGGAAGATCTTCCGCCTGCTGATTAACGCCCTCAGTGGCTGTGATGGCCCACACTGAGCTGATCTGAAACAGGAGCCAGGAACTTCCTCCAGGTCTCCCATGCAGGTGCAGGGTCCCAAGGCTTTGGGACGTTCTCAACTGCTTTCCCAGGCCACAGGCAGGGAGCTAGATGGGAAGTAGAGTCTCCAAGACTAGTACTGGTGCTCATATGGGATCCTGGCACGTGTAAAGCGAGGACTTTAGCTACTAGGCTACTGTGCCAGACCCAATGATAAGTCTTTAAAAAAAACGAGTTCTGAGACCATACTCATGAATGTGAGAAAACTGAATCCTCGGATCCCATCATTCATAATGCACTCTACCCTTCTCCCTGTGTTCCCCAAAACAGGTAAGTTTTTAAAAGTCAGCTTGTGTTTGGGCTACTTCTTATTTATTCTGCACAAGTAATACAATCACATGGCTCAAAGGTCAAATGTGAAAGGACTGTGCAAGCTGCTAGTCCCTTCCCTCCTCGGAGCTCATTGGCGTCACTTCTGTGCACACAGAAGCAAATACACATGCGTGTACGCTACACTTTTGTCAGGAAGTGCACTTCTCACCTTCTGTTGCTTGCCATCTCACTTGACAATTATTCCGTATTAGTAGGGGAAGGACAGAATGACTTTCAGCTGCATAGTGTTACGGGGTTAGTCTGTAGGAGAACTGACTTCAGCAATGCCCTAGACGAGGGCACTTGGGTTCTTGTGTCTGTATTCGTCCCCAATCCAGACATCAGGAAGGAGAGCAGTCCCCCTCCCACCAGGCTCCCAAGCTCTTTTGCATGCCTGTCTGTGATTGGACAGCCCCTGTTGCGGGGGGTGGGGCTAGAGCGCTTGGGACTTCTCTGCTTCTCTCCTTTTGGTGCCCTTGAACTCCCTCCCCGTGGCCGCAGGTTATACAAGCCCAGCACCAAATGACCATTCTTCGTCACCAGTTCACCCACAAACCCCCCTGAATGCTAACAGGAACTACTGGCCCCGTGGCCATCTTCCTCCAGCAGATGCAAGGCAGACAGGTGCAAGTCGAGGGGCAGGGGCACAGGCTGGAACTGTGCCTTCCATCAGATGTCCTATCGCATCTCTGAGACTTCCATAGGTCAGGAGAGGGGAGGAGAGCAAAACTGAGAAATGTAGGCTGGGGAAATACCAGGGACTGACGCTCCACAAGAGGTGGGGTTGGGGAAAGAGGAGAGAGGGGAAAGAGGATGTTAGCAGGGAACCCCTAGACCAACAGCAACAGCAGGCAGCAATGGGAGGAAAGGGAGGTGGGCAGAAAAAGGAAGGAGGGAGGCAGGCTCTGGGGTTGCAGGGACAGCCCCAGAGTCTCTAGGGAGCTATGCCTGTTGCAGTTCTTGGCTTTAAAAGATCAGAAAGATCCAGAAGAAAATGAAAGAGACACATCTGTGTTAAAGCGGGTGGCTGCCTCTGCAGGCTCCTGTTGGTCCTTCCTGCCCTCTGGGGGTGGGAACTGAGCACGGTGGGCACAGCAAGACCCAGGTACCCCCAGGAGTCCTGGGCTCTGCACGCTCTGCATGGCCCTGGCAGGAAGCAGACGCCAGGGAGAGAGACCATGGGAGACAGGAAGGGACCGCCAGCCAGAGAAAACGGGGCCAGGCGCCTCAGCCCAGCCTCCACTGCTGCCTCGGCCCTCACAGCCCAGCCGCATTTCCCAGAAGCCCCCTAGTTGTGAGTGAAGCCCCCATGGGTGAAGGCAGGGAGCTCGGGGGCACAGGCCGCGACCTGGGGCAGGCAGGCCAGGGGGTTGACGGCACAGGCCTCAGCATCCTGGTCCTCCTGGAAGTAAACCGAGTCTGCCGAGTAGAAGGAGGGGTCCTCGTCAAAGAAGTTGTAGGGTCGGAGGAAGAAGCCCACGCCGTTGGCCACGGTCACCGTGTTGGGAATGTCCTCGGCGTGTGGGATGTGCAGAAAGCCAGCGGTCACCCAGGCCACCAAGTCCTGGCGGGGAAAGGAGGAAAAGGATCCTGGGGTCTGGCCATGCTCCAGATCCAGAGCCTTTTAACACTTTTTCAGCCCGGCCGGAAATCAGAATGTAAACAGTCCATTTCCCCTAGGGAGATGCCTCCCTGCTGCTGACCCTGACCCTCCACCTGTGGCTCTTCCCATCACAGCACCTCTTGTGCCCCGACCCCTGCCCCCAGCCCAGAGGGTGGCCCCCATGGGCCACCTCATCTCAAGCCTCCTAACTCTGAGATCTCCCAAACCATAATTCAGGAAGCCAGGGTGAAGAGGGGGAGGACTTGGGAGGCCAAAACTGGCTGATTCTGAGAAATTCTTTCTTAGTGCACTGTTCAGCCCCGAGTGGGAGGGGTTTTAGACACAGGAAACATGACCTTCCCTTGGGACATCCAGCCCTCCTTGCAGCTTAGGGCCCAGAAAGTACTCAGTGCACAAAGCTGGGGATCCAGCCGAGTCCCAAGGTCTGTCAACGGTCCTCAACTGTGCCCACGGCCCACCCAAGAGAGGTGAGGCTCACCGGTATATCCCAGCTTCCCACCCTCATCTCCCATGACCAGCTGACCTCCCCGGCAATCGTCTCATTGTTGATGAATTTTGCGAAGTCCACTGTGGGGGCCCAGGGGTCATTCTGATTGAAGACGCTGCTGCTTCTGGGTTCCTTGTCCTTCCGCTGCGTCACAGCTAGCTGGTACCTAGGAGGACACAGCTCAGGTGGCTGGGCTCATTCACCCCAGCCCTCGGGGACACTCTGACGGGTCATAGCCTTCTGCCATTTCCAAGATGTCCCTCTTCCTCAACAACACAAGCACGCTCTCATGTCGGGCTTTAATCCTTTGAGAGGAAACGTGCTTCTGTACCGATTAGGAATTAAAAAATCCCTCCAAAGACCTGGTTCCCCCCCGCCGCCCCGTGTTTGGTCTGTTTCTGGGGTTCCCTCCATCTCTCCCTTCTCCCACTTCTTCACTCACCTCCCCCAGCTGAAAGCTCTCTCCAACAGGCTGTCCCGGGGCAGCGGCTCGCCAGAAAAGCTGAGTATCTGGATGCGGTAGCCCTTGGGGTGGCCCCATTTGTTGCTGTGGTTGCTGGCCAGGTACACATAACGAGGGGTGCCACCGCCCAGCGGGAAGGCAGCCTGATCTTCCGTGGCCAGCAGTTTCCGTGTCACCTGCAGCTTCTGCATCTGGTGCTCAGGGTTCCAGGGCACAGGCGAGGGCACAAAGGCCATGTCGTCAGCCCAGACATAGTTCTTCAGCCCTGGAGAGGGGAAGGCTGGTCAGGCAGCGGTCCTGGGTGGAGTTCCCCCCCACGGGTCCACAGAGCGTCCCTGGGGGACTAGAGCGGCCCTGCTTTCCCTTCCCAGGACCCTTCCTTCTTCGGCCAGAGCTTTTGCACTGTGATCCATTTATTTAACATGGCCTTCATCCATCCGCTCGACATTCTGTAGCAGAGAGGACTAGGCAAGTCTCTAGCGACAGAGCTGAGTGTCATATCACCCTAACTCACCCCAACTTCTGGTGCTGCCACAGGAGCACAGCAAGGCCTTGGTAATGTCAGTGTTACAGGGATGCAAACACAGGCAAGAAAAGGGACCCCGACTCAGTGCGGTAGCATAGCGGTTGAAGTCCTCGCCTTGAACACACCAGCATCCCATATGGGCCTCAGTTCTAATCCTGGCAGCCCCATTTCCCATCCAGCTACCTCCTTGTCGCTTGGGAAAGCAGTTGAGGATGGCCCAAAGCCTTGGGACCCTGCACCCGTGTGGGAGACCTGGAAGAAACTCCAGGCTCCTGGTTTTGGATCAGCTCAGCTCCAACTGTTGCGGCCGTTTGGGGAGTGAATCAACAGAAACATCTTCTCTGTCTCTCCTCCTCTCTGTATATCTAATCTTCCAATAAAAATAAATAAAATATAAAAAAAGAAAAAAAGGGGGGCCCCCTTCCTGGGCAATTAAAAAAAGCTTTATTATTTTTTTTTTTTGGAAAGTCAGATATACAGAGAGGAGGAGAGACAGAGAAGATCTTCTGTTCAATATTTCACTCCCCAAGCAGCCACAACAGCTGGAACTGAGCTGATCCAAAGCCAGGAGCCAGGAGCTTCTTCTAGGTCTCCGACATGGTACAGGGTCCCAAGGCTTTGGGCCATCCTCGACTGTTTTCCCAGGCCACAAGAAGGGAGTTGAATGGGAAACAGGGCTGCCAACATTAGAACTGGTACCCATACGGGATCCCGGTATATGAAGGTGAGGACTTTAGCTGCTAGGCTACTGTACCAGGCCCCTGGGCAACTTTTTGATCTTAAAGATATCACCAAAAGGGGGCCAGCACTTTGGGATAGTGGGTTAAGCCTCTGCTTGTAGTGCCTGTAGTCCCATACAGGTGCTGGTTAGAATCCCATTTGCTCCACTTCCAATCTAGGTTCCTGCTAATGCGCCTCAAAAAGCAGTAGAAGTTGGCCTAAGTGTTTAGACCCCTGTACCCATCTGAGAAATCTGGAAGAAGCTTCTGACTCCTGGCTTTGGCCTAGCCTAGCCTCAACCCTTGTGGCTGTTTGTGAGGATGAACCAGCAGATAGAAGATTTTTATCTCTGTAACTCTGCTTTTCAAATTAATAGTCTTTTTTTTTTTAGTCTTCAAAAGAGAAAACATGGGGGAGGGTATTTGTAGCAGCGATTAAGCCGCTCCTGGGATGCCTACATCACACATCACAGCCCCTGGCTTCTGGAGTCCTGGCTTCACGCTCAGCTCCAGCGTTCTGCTCATGTGCGGTCTGGGAAATAGCAGGTGATGGCTCAAGTACTTGGGTCCCTGTCACCCATGTGGGAGACCTGGATTGAAATCCCAGCTCTATGTTTTAGCCTGGTCTAGACAGGTATATGGAGACTGAACCAGAAGATAGGAAATTTCTTTTTGTCTGTCTCTCCTTTCAAATTAATGATTGGGAAAAGAAGAGGGAGAGGAAAAGGAGGAGGAGGCATGGAACAGCGTTTGAGGCAGAGGCAAAACATCAGCCTGAATGCAGAAGTCTGACGGAACGGCGTGGACTCTGTGTCCAGAGGCACGCAGGGTAGGGTGTGAGAATGCCAGAGCAGGGGAGAGGATCTGGGAGCAGGTTAGAGCTGCACTAAGAAGGGAAGGCCCCTGTGGCTGCCTGTGATGGGAATGCTGCAGGGGCTGGGCAATGTGAGAGCTCAGGGCAGAGTGGACCGTGTATGTAGCAGCAGCAGCAGCAAGGAAGGAGACCACAAAGAGAGGACTGGCACCTGCAGGCGGCTGGCCATGGGCCCTGGCGAAGGTTCTGAGCTAATTGAGACACGGCGCAGAAAATAACCTGCTGATGGACTCTGCATGCAGGGAAGTGAGAACAAGCAAGAACTCCAAGATATCGCAGAGCCTTGGTTCTGCAACTGCCCATCCCAGGAACATCCAGAAACCCTCTCTCCAATCCCACCCCATGCCCTCATGGTGCTTCAGAACTCAGGTGAACTGTGCCCAGAAAACAGGGAGGAGCAGGGAGAACCTAAGGGGTTCATGACTGGCCTGTAGGTGCCAGGGACTTGGCAGAACAGACACTTAGTGCCCTGGCACCAGAGGCCAGCCAAGAGTTCTTGAGTGACGAAACGAAGTGGTGCAAGTGCGAGGGATAGGAGACCCTAGTGAGTGACCTAGACCCTGCCTCTTCCCACAGCCCAGGATTCTCCAAGCTAGTCATGTAGATGGAGGTCACGTGTTGCCAGCTAGTGCATTAAGCTTCAAATAAGATTCAGCAGCTAGTATTCTCCCATCCAATAAACAAGAAAGCAAGAAAATGCATATCATCCTTTCCTGGGCAACCCACAGAGCAGTCAAAGCAAATGGAGGCAAAACCTTCAGGCACACACTGCCCCCTTTGCCAGGAGGACTCACCTGCTACATCCAGATCCACCTTGTAGTGGGCACTGTGGGTGTGGACAGTGCCCAGCGTGTGAGGCCCGACTCGGTTCCCAAACCCTTGGTAAGCACCAAAGAGGAAGGACGAGCTGATGTAGCCTGTGGCATGGAACTTGACCTCCACAGCCCCATTGGGGTGGAACATCATGTCCCACACATAGTCGTAGTTGAGCAAGGTGGACACAGATCTAAAGACCAGCACCGTCTCCACAAGACCACCAAAGTAGTAAGACAGAAGATCTGAGTGATGCCGTCTCAAGGGGAGGCCCTGATTCTGTTCAAACACACAGAAGGCATCGCGCACTGTCTTGGGCGTCTGGGACTCCAGAAGGAAGTGCCAGTCCACGTAGGTGGCCAGGTAGGGGCAGTCCACCCCGCGAGTCAGGGGCGTGGTGTATTTGCCCATGCCAAAGCCGCCGTCCAGGTAGCGGGTCAGCATCGCTGCTGCAGAATTCCCTCCGTAGATGGTCACAGCCTCCTGGAGGCTGATCTCGTAAGCCAGCCGTTCTCCCTTGAAGCGGATGTCAAAGATCCTCGGGCCACTGAAGGCTCCCAGGCCAAAGGAGAAAGTCCACAGGGAGGAGGCCACACGAGTCCCCTGCACACTGTAGCGAGGACCCTGGGGGTGGAACTGCAGAGGTGGGGCCGGGCCTGGGGGCACCTGGGACTTCAGGGACCACAACCCACCTGTGCCATTGTTAGGGATCAGCACCACATTCACCATGCCGGCCTCAAACTGCTCCTCCAGCTGGGCCAGACTCTCGTAGTAGCGGCCTTGATAGAATACCTTCTGGATGTACCAGTGGGCAGGGTTCAGCGCCTTGTGGTTGACCAGAAGCTCCAAGCCCACAGGGTTCAGGTAAAACCCAGCCCCTGAGATGTTGTAGTAGAGGCCAAACCAGGTGGTCCGGTCCCCAGATCGCAGCCCACGAGGAGCAGCCGTCAACAAAGCAAGGTTGCGTCCCCCAGAAGTATAGAAGCAGCAGTGGTGCAGCAGGCCAGCAGCCCGGGGCAGCTCTCTGTCGAACAGCATGTTTTCTATCTCCAGGTACTCTCGGGCCAGCACAGGGCGCCGGTGGTAAGGCAGGGGGCCCCCGTGCCGCTCCACTGTCACATCCCGCACATAGCTGGGTCGGGGCAGAGGCCCCACCACCAGCTCACTCACGTTGGGCTGGGCCTGGGCACCAAAGAAGACAATGGCCAGTGCCTCACGGGTCGGTGGGGGGCCTCCTCTGTCCAGGTGAGCCAGGGCCGCAGCCTTGGGGGGCAGCTGCAACTCCACCGAGAACACGCAGTTGTCTGAGGGCTGGGCCTGGGCCGCGTCCACCAGCCCTGGCCCCAGCTGCTGCCTCAGAAAGCTCATGACAGCTGTCAGCTCATCTGGGTTCAGGTCTGAGAAGAGCTGGCTCCGGTCGGGGTGTGGCCAGGTCTGGGCGCTGGGAGTCCCCAAGGGACAATGGGGCGGTGAGCTGGGTTCATCCCCACTTGTACCCCTGCCTACCAGCAGGCCACAAATCAAGGCAATGATGGTGATGACAGCCAGAGCAAGGAGCACCAGGGTGGTCTTCTGGTTCATGGTCTCTGAAGAGGGACAGAGGATTCGAGAAGCTAGAACGGTGTCACCGGAGTCTGGCAAGAGGGGCTCTCCTGGCTCCCGGACTGGGGGTTCCGGGCTCTGGCTGCGTTTCCCAAGAGTCAGCTGCCTAGGATGGACCTAGGGAGGCTGGAGCCAGGAGAGGGGCGGGCCGGGGCTGGGGGCGGGTCTGAGCTGGGCTGCAGTGATTTCCACAGACCTTACATGGCTGTATCCTCTAGACTCCAACTCATACTCTGTTCTGTGGGTCAGGGTTGGGGCTAGGGAAAGCTGGGGCTTGGGGAAGGGGAAGCTGGCCAGCCGGAGCGGGGAGATGAGCTTGGGTACAGAGAGCAGTCTCCCGGGAGTCCCCTACCCCGTTCCACCCCCACCCCGCTGCAGCCCCCACCCCTCAGAGCCAGCTGTTCTCTTTCCTGCCACTGGGAACTATTGTTTTCCTTCCAAGGACACTCCCCACGCCCCCCACCCCAGCCCCTTCAGCTTCCACCCCAAACATTCCTTGGCCAGGTCCCTTCCCCAGCCCTCTTGCCTCCATTGCTAATTTTTTTGGTCAGAGTCCTCAGAATTCTCAGGGGACTTGACAGAGTCAAGCAGAAAACATTCAAGTAAAATCCTTTTCATGCTTTTTATTATAAACTGGCCAGAATTCTAGCCACCCTTCCTTTCCAATGTGCATGCCTGAAGAAACGCCCCCTGCAATGTGAGTACCAGTCTTTGGGGGTATTTATACTTGAATTTTTAAAACTGTGTTTGATTTAAGGTATCCCTTTGGAACATGAACAGAAAGTAGGAATGAACATAGGGGGTTCGTGGGGATTTGGTGTAGAAGGGGCTGTTTCCAGGGCACACTAGAAGAGTGGCAGGTGTAATTAAAACTCAGGGAACAGAAGGTAAGAATGGAGAGGAAGGTGCCAGATCCCTGCCCCCACACCCTCACCACTAGAAGCCTTGGTAAGAAAAGGGGGGTAGGTCTGGAACGCAGGCTGCCAGGTGGGGTATGCAGGCTGCAAGGTTGACATGGCAAAGCCCAGCATCCTGGCCCTTCTCGAAGAACACGCTGCCGGGAGAGGAGATGGAGGGGTCCTCATCGAAGAAGTTGTAGGGTCGGAGGAAGAAGCCTGCCCCGTTCCCCACGGTCACCGTGTTGGGGATATCCTCCGCGTGGGGAATGTGCAGGAAACTGGCTGTCACCCAAGCCACCAGATCCTGCCAGAAGAGGGAGGAGCTAGAGCCGAGAACCTAGGGTCCCAGGCTGGGCAGCCAAGATGCCAGACCCATAGGAGCCCCTCCTCCATCCCCAGAACTACCAACCTCTCCTAAGAGTGTCTCATTGTTGATGAAGTCAGCGAAGGTCATGGTGGGGGTCCAGATGTCATTCTGAAAATAGATGCTGCTGCTCCAAGACTCCTCCTCCTTCCTCCGGGTCACTGCGAGCTGGTATCTGACCAGGAATGGTTGTGGCCAGAGTGTGCTGGTTGGCAAGTATCAGGGGCCTCCTTGGGTCTAGGAGTCCTTTGGCTTGGCCTGTGTGTGAGGCCATCGCTCATCCTGTTTCCTATCTAGTTGGCTGTGAGGGCTGGGCCAGGGGAGCGATGGGAAGCCATGGCAGTGGGTGGGGATCTCCCAGGCCTGGGTCTGGGACAGGTCCCTCCCTCCCCATTGCCCACCGTCCAGGGCCCTGCTTACCTCCCCCAGCTGAGGGCCCGCTCCATGGTGCTCTCCAGGGGCAGGTGGACACCGAGGGGGCTGCGGGGCTGGATTCGGTACCCACGCTGGTGGCCCCAGGCATTGGTCTGGTTGCTAGCCAGGTACAGGTAGCGAGGAAGGGGGCTTTCCCAGGTAAAAGCCGCCAGGCCCTCCTGTGCCAGCACCTGCCGTGTCAGCTGAGGGCGCTGCAGCTGGTACTCGGGGCTCCAGGGGGCTGCCACGGGCTTAAACACCACGTCTTCTGCTAGCACCCAGTTTTTCAGGCCTGCCAAGGTGAGGGAAGGGAGAAGAGTTCCATGCCAGGTGAGGTGGCACCGTTGCCTCCCACATCATGCCCACTGCCCAGCCCTGCAGTGGGCAGCCACGGGCAGCAGGGAGCACTCATGCTGGGAGCCACAGGGTCCAGAGATGTGCTCATTCCTACTCCCACTCCACCCCATCTTCTAACCTGTCCTATCCAACAAAGGAACCACTAGTCACATGCGATTAGGCATCCAGTTGCTCAGCTACACTGTGAGTGCTCACTAGACACATATGGCAAGCAGCTGTTAGACCCGGCACAAATTCAAAACATGCTGCCTTCGTGGAAGGTTGTTAGCAGTGGTCCACCCCATAGACCCTCCCAATGAGCTCCTCAGTACCGTAGCCTAATGCTGCATTACCATGTATGCGCATGTGGATGGTAGCACTCATATAGCTACAAAAAGGCACAATCCCTGTTTTGGAAAATCTGGTTGGCAAGGCCCGACCCCCTCCCACATGGTCCCCTGCACCCCTCCCCTCCTCACTTCAGCCCAGGCACTTGACTTTCCAGCTGCACTGGGAGCATGCACATCAATGCCTCCCTCAGTCATGCAGATCCTGGCACTCAGAGTCTGCACTACTCAGATTCCGTTTCTGCTCCCAGTGTGACCCCTCTGAAGGCTGCTAGCGCCTCTGCTGGGCAGACAGGACTCTGTGCATCAGCAGCAGGAAGGAACAGCCAGCCTCTGGCCCCCACAGCACCAACCAGGCCAGGGCAACTCCTCACAGTGGGACAAGCCAGGCCTTACAAGCAAGGGGCTAAGAAACCACTTCCCGAGACACGTGCTCAGTCACACAGCTCCCTGCCATTCTTCTCCCCCAGCTCTAAGTTGGTTCAGCAGCAAAACACTGAGCCAGGTAGGTTGCTGAATTTCTGGTCCCTGAATGTATGTGACAGGATCTGTTCAGGGGTGACCAGTCCTCTTGGTGCGTGGAGCTCTGAGAAGCCCTTCTGCCAACTGACAGCAAGCCTGTTGTGCACCTGCTGACTTTGGAGCCCATGGTGATGGACAGGACGTGACACCCCTCCTCATAAGCACAGTGGAGCAGCCCCACAGCCCCAGCTGAGACCCGCCCTTGTCCCATTTCCTATACTCCAGGTCCAGCTCTGCCCTGAGAACTCTGGACAGCCTGCCTCTGGCCTCTACTGAGGCCGTTCCCAACCCACCTAACTCCACCACCCCATCTCCCTACTCCCAGAGTTAGTGAGGGAACAAAGTGGTCCAGCCAATCTCAGGGCCAAGTCATCTACCGCTGGTGTCACTCAATGCAATCAGGCATGGCCCACTGTACTTCAACTTGTTTCTCAACTGCAACAGGCTCCAGGGGCCAAGGAGTGAGTCTGGCCAGCAGAACCCTCTTCACCTCTTGCCAGACACCTGCAGGCCAATGGCCCTTAAATAACACACTAAGTGCATGTGCCTCTGGAGTCTGGCTTCTCCCAAGAGACCTGGGCTTCACTCACAGGACCCCTGCTCCTCTGCCCCATGCACCAGCCCCCAACTCCTCACCCCTCCGAGCACTCACCTGCCACATCCAGGTCCAGCTTGAAGTGGAACGCATGCGTGTGCACCGCCCCTAGCACTCGCTCCCCCACGCGGTTCCCAAAGAGGAGGCTTTCTGCCCCTCCACTCAGGAAGGCTGTGTTGATATAGCCCGTGGCGTGGACCCGACCCTCAAGCACCCCATTTGGGTACAGCACAAAGTCCCAAATGTAGTCATAGTTGCCCACAGTTGACACAGACCTGACCACAAGAGCCGAGCCGGCCAAACCACCGTAGAAGTGACTCTCGAGGTAATTGTGGTGCCTCCGGAGGGGCAGTGTCTGAGCCTCCTCAAAGACACATACGGCCCCTGGGAGCAGCTGCACTGTCCCTGCACCCGCAAGTACGTGGATGTCCACCATTGAGGCTTGGTAGGGGCAGTCCACTCCTCGCACCAAGCCTCGGCTATTGCGGCCAAGGCCATAGGTGCCATCCAAGTAGCGGGTCACCATTGTCTTGGGTGAATCAGCACCATAGACAGTCAGACACTCCTGGACACTCACTTCATAGGCCACTCGCTCACCCCTGAACCTGACATCAAACATCCGCATGCCACTGAATACCCCGTGGCCAAAGGCAAGCGTCCAGAGCGGGGACACCACCAGGTTACCTCGCACGCTGTACTGGGCACCCTGGGGCGAGAGACCAAGTGTAGGGAAAGGTCCCGGGGGCACCCGGGACCTCAGGGATGAAGCTCCGTTTGGCGGGGGCAGAGGAACTCTAATCACTTCCAGCCGACCAGCTTTAAACTCCCATTCCAGCTGCCTCAGGTCCGCATAGTAACGCCCGAGGTAGAAGACTTGCTGCACAGACCAGTGGGCAGGGTCCAGGGCTCTGTGGTCCAGCAGGAGCTCCAGCCCCACAGGATGGAGAAAGAATCCAAGACCTGAGATGTTATGGTAGAGGGCTATCCACGTAGCTCGGTCCCCATCCGAGTGCAAACCACTGGGAGTGGCATGGAGTGGTGCCAAAGTGGACCCGTTGTAGTTGAAGATGGAAGCCAGGAAGCTGGGGGCCTTGACAAACTCCACCTCTTTAAGATGCCTCCACATCTGAGCAGACTCAATCCTCAGCATGGGGCGCCGGTGGTAAGGCAGGGGGCCCCCGTGCCGCTCCACTGTCACATCCCGCACATAGCTGGGCCGGGGCAGAGGCCCCACCACCAGCTCACTCACGTTGGGCTGGGCCTGGGCACCAAAGAAGACAATGGCCAGTGCCTCACGGGTCGGTGGGGGGCCTCCTCTGTCCAGGTGAGCCAGGGCCGCAGCCTTGGGGGGCAGCTGCAACTCCACCGAGAACACGCAGTTGTCTGAGGGCTGGGCCTGGGCCGCGTCCACCAGCCCTGGCCCCAGCTGCTGCCTCAGAAAGCTCATGACAGCTGTCAGCTCATCTGGGCTCAGGTCTGCGAAGAGCTGGCTCCGGTCAGGGTGTGGCCAGGTCTGGGCGCTGGGAGCCCCCAAGGGACAGCGAGGAGGCTGGCTGGAAGCACCTTGGCTGGTCAGCAGAACGTAAGCAAGGGCAAAGATGGTGACAAGGGACAGTGTCAGGAGCCCCAGGAGCACCTTGACACTCATGGCGGAGGCCGTGAGCCAAGCTCATTGAGTCCTGGGAGCAGCTCCATGCAGGCACTGACATCAACTCAGGGTTTATATTTGCTAGGATAGCTAGGAATGGACAAGACTCCACCCCGTGGGCTGGATGAGAAATTTGTGACCTTGATTCATGTAATTCTGTTCCTATTTCCAGCCCTGTGGTTTGGCTCCAGGCACCTCTTTCCCACGTGGAGCCTCTTCCTTGTTCTGTGGCAGTGGGTCTACCGCTGGGAACAGGTGGGCCATCAGGATTGGCATTGATCTCCACCTTCTGCCCAGAATGAGTCTGAGGAAGGCTGCAAACCTGATGCCCAACACACCCTAGGCTACAGACACTAAGCCATCCGTCTCCCTACCCGAGGCCCCATTTACAGTCTGGCCCTTCCATCCGAGCCCATGAGAACGAGGGGCAGACGAGCATGCCCTTGGAGGAGGTCATGCCCTTGGTCTCCAACCCTCACCTACAGGGAATGCCCTTTTGGGCTGAAGAGCCACCGGGATCATGCACCTCCCGCACATGGCAGCCCACCGCACAGTGCAGGCTTCCAAAGCTGCCACTGCTGCCTTTACTGCTCAAGACCTTAAAGGCCTGTGGGTTCACTGAAAACCAAGAGGCTCTTGCAAGACGGAAATTGAGAAACATTTATTTTGGAGGCTGCGGGTGCTAGGCAGCTTCCCATGTTAATTCTAAAATCCAAAACTTGCAGTCTCCTCAAGAAATTAACATTGCTCAGAGGAAAAGTGTTACCATAAGGCAAAGGAAACTACTGAAGAGGGGTGTGTGTGCCTTGAACCAGGTCAGTGCCCAGATGCAAGCTGACAGCAACCTCTAGTGGCAGCTCATGGGTATTACCAAGGAAGCTGAGGGCCCAGGACACAGCACCGGGGACAGAGGCAGCTTGAGTTTGGGAAATGGCATCTTCCACATAAATTCAAACTGAACACAGATGAAGGACCCACCCTTGCCTCTCGGCCGGCAGGAGCCTCCATCTTCCCCCCCACCCCATCCCGGAGACAAATGGCCGCTTGAGAGGCAGGAAGCCCACGCAAAAGGGTGCCTGAAGATGTGGGGGCAGGCATTTATGGGAACATACAGGAACACGAGTGTGTCTGGGCACAAGAACATGGCACCCAGGTCTGCGGCTTTAGAAAGAGGTCAAAGTACCTGTATTTTTAATAATTTCTTGACATGGTAAAAGAATTTTACATTACAATCCAAGGGTGGTAGGTGAGGCAGGATAGTACAATCCAACAAACAGGGAGGCTGAGGAACGCCTGGGAGGAGGGGGAGGAATTGAGCGGGAAGGGAAACTGGAAGGCAAGTAGGGCCACCACCCACCTCCAATGCGATCGGTTTGTTACGGAGAACTATTCATGGGGAGAGCATCCGGCCTCCTGTCCTATACAACACTGGGAGCCAAGACTGGGAGTTGGAAGACAGAGGCGAGGAGGAGCAAAGGCCGGACACAGAGAGTGGCCGGCAGGCTGACCACAGCTAAGAACTCTCCCAAAGCTGGGGGTGGAGGAGGGTCAACACCGAAACTGTAACAGTGAACCTGTCTCCAGCAGAGTCCAGAGACACAGCGGGGACTTGCCTGGCGTATTCTGACGTGTGCAGTGTGTGTACTTACATGTGCATGTGCACACACACACACACACACACAGGCCTGCTATCCCTGGAAGCACAGAACCATACATGACAAAGGTCTCTTCCAAAGGCAGGGGCCCACAGGAGCAGCAGCGTCTGGGAGTGATGCCCGCGGACGCCCTCACCCTGTTCATAACTGGCCTGCAGGATAGCAAGTGGGAGTCCACGGAGCGGCCTTGGCAAAAGTGCCCAGGACAAGAAGCTTCCCCAATCTCTGCCTCCCACCTCTTGGTTCTCCAAAGAGAACACAAGAGCAGAGGGCAGGTAGGCCTAGGACTTTCATCTGGATGAAAGACGACCAAGACAACTCCTAAAAGGTATGTGTGTGACGGGGTCTTGGAGCAGGAAGTGTAAGGAGAGGGGTAGAAGGGCAAGTGTGTGCACATCTGAACATGTGTACATACACGTGTACACACATGTGTACATGAGAACCCCCACGGTGGAAACACCTGCAGGAGACAGGACGCAGGCGGAGGCCCACGGTGCTTCCTGTCGTGGGTTGTGTGCAGATGGGACACCTGAAATCACCAGCCAGGTGGGACAGGGAGGACTCAATGTGCCACAGAAGTTTATGTCAGGAGAGAGGAGCTGGCCCCCTGCCCACCCCAGTTCCTAAAAAATACCTAGCATTTTCCCTATCATTCCCTTAGCTTCTAACTAAGCATCAACAGAAGAAAACAAAGCCCAAGACACAGGAGGGAGAGTGGGGAGAGAGAGAACACAAGCTTTCCTGTGCCAACATCCTGCACACGCAAACCTGCAATCTCCAGAACCAGAGGACAGGCTGGGCTGGGGGCTTAGGGAAGGAAAGAGAAGAGTTCCTGAGGCCTGAAAAAAGAGGTAAACACATCACAGAACTAGATGAGAGTTTCATTCGACTCTAACTAAAAACAGAGAGGTGTGATTACTATTTCCAGCCAGTTTCCCCATCACGATAGTCAGGTAACAAACCAAGGCAATGTCGGTCTTGAGCCAGACTCACAGAGTCCCCTGGCCCTGGCCCCGGCCTCAGTACAGTGTCTCTGCATTGCTGCTCCGGGGCCGCTTGATCTTCTCGATGTTTTTGAGGATCATGTCATGAAGAGTGACCTGCGAGCAGACACAGGGGGTCGCCCATCAGCTCGAGCACCACCTCACCAAGAAAACCAGACCCAACCTTCGAGTCATCGTCCGTGTAACCCCAATGCCACTCGTGTGAACCTGCCATCAGACTTACACAACACTGAGTATAACTGGGTAGGTGCAAGGCCCCAGGTGTCTAATAACAACTAATTATGCATTCAGCCTTCAATATAAAAAAAAATCCACTAAGTCTTTTAATGTATTTTATTTCCAAAAACTCATTCTTGGGCCACAGGTACATAAAACTCTAACTCTTCCTTTAACAGGAGGAGAAACTGAATCTAGAGTCTGAGCAAGGTGAAGGTCACACATACAGCTGGGCCTTGATTCCTACCTCAGCCTCTCTGACCCTGACGCCCAGGCTGCAGCCACGCTACCATAGCACACACACCCCAGCCCAGGCACACTTTCTTCCACTTGTTTAACCATCAACTCCCAGCCCGACCTTCCAGGAACAGGTTACTCACATACTGATTCCTCAGTTCTGATATGATGAGCCGGAGGCTGATGTACTCTTTCTCGTCAATCTCCGTCACCGTGCGGCGGTAGTCCTCCTGGGATGGGAGGGACGCGGGATGAAGCTGCCCCGAGGCCCACGCGACAGACACCTCCTCCCAGCAACAAGCACACTTCCCTGGCCTGCACCCCCGGCCCCTACAGCCACCAAACCCTGACTTACCACATGGGGATATTTTGCTATTTTAGAAACCAATTTGGCTCTTGTGATATAATATCTGAAAGGAGAGACAACAGGAGGGAGCTGCAGGAGACCCTGTGTGGTGCCCAGCACCGCGTCGCCGAGGCCCAGCTCCCAGGCCAAGTGCAGGCAGCCCTACCTAGAAATCTGGTCCAGATAAGATGCAGCTTCACTCTCAACAGTTCTTAGTTCTGCAACTGTTTCCTCCTGAAAAACAGGCAAAACCCCCAACCTAGGTCAATCCAAAGGCACGTCCTCACCCCAGCAGCCCTGAAAGCAAAAGAAAATCAGGGTGGGGGAAGATGGGGACCTTTCTCCCAAAACCTTTCTCCCCAAAACCTTTCTCTTTGGTTTGTACAGCAGGCACATTACCTGAATGGACACGCCAAAGTTGTTCCCATCTTCTATCCTGGGAATCAAGAGCTGTACCCACATTTTCACCTGGTGAGTGAGAGGACAACACACACATGAGGCATCTGATCTAGTCTGCCAAAGCCTCAAGGTCCCCAACCCTGCTGTGGGAACCCCAGGAGGCAGGACAGCTCCCAGCCACACCACCAGGGGCGGGGGAATGCCGGGCTACAGGGAGGAGCTGGCCCAGAGGGCATTAGCTCCAGCCTTACCGTGTTACACTTCTCAATCAGCAGCCGGATCTCAGGTTTCACTTTCTCAATAATGTCGACCAGCTGTTGGTTGCTTTTTAGCATCCCATTGGGCATCACAAACACCTTGGTTCCTGGTAGGGATGGGGAAGGTCAAACAATTAAGAAAGAGGAAAGAAAAAAAAACATCCTCTACTTTTCTTCCCCAGGGCTGCCAAGACCTCTACCTTGCACCTGTCACAATCCTACCAAGACACAAGCACGGTGCTGCAGCAGCTGACTCCTCCTGTGACACCAGCATCACATATGGACACCAGTTTAAGTCCCAGCCATTCTACTTGCAATCCAGCTCCCTGCTAATGCACCTGGGAAGGGGGATGACCCACATGCTGGGCCCCTGTACCCACATGGGAGACTGGGAAGAAGCTCCAGGCCTGGCTCATCCTTGGCTGTGGCAGCTATATGGGGAGTGAGCCAGTGGCTGGAAGATTCTATCCTCCTCTTTTTCTGTAACTCAGCCTTTCAAATAAGTGAAAAATATACCTTGAGAAAAACTGAAAAGAGATGCATAGTTCAATAGAGAAGCACCCAAGGTTTGCCAAATCTTAAGATTAAGAACATTAGAATAAATATATGGCTTAAAGACTTGTCAAAAACCACTACTGCAGAGGCAGAATACAACACAGAACCAAGACATGAGGTCCAGAGTGCCAACCACTCTCCCGTGGCAGCCCACAGCAGGTCAAACCCGCTTATGAGAGCTGGGTGGAAAGTGCTCAATGACGACCAATTCCGGAGGACCCACCGTTGCTGACTCTCAGGGACACAAACGGATCTTGCTTCTTACCCCTCACTTCTACCCCTACCCCCATGGCGCTTCTGTCTGCTTGGGAACCCCTTAGAGCTTAGAGTCACTTTCCAAGGATGCAGCTTGGGGAGTCAGGGTGATTTGGGGAGCATGGACCTGGCCTTACCTTGGAAGGCCTCTTCACACTCATCCAATCTTCGCTTCTTATAAGTGGGCTAAGACACAAAGAGACAGGAGTTAGCCTTCCTGCCACACCCACAGTCTTGTCACAAGATGCACTTCAAGTAAATGCAAACCCTTTCTGCCCCTGTGCTCTTACTCATTCTTGCACAGCTTCCCAAGTACATACAAGGAAAGCTTGCAGGAATGTTCTTGCCACAAGGAAACAATCTTGCATACAACTTGGGGAAAGGGGAAGAGACACACAAAAAAGAATGGGAAGAGGCCCCCATCAAGGCAGGGTGAGGACCATCAGGGGAACACATACAAATCTACTAGTTCCACAGAGACTCGCCAGCCAAATGACTGGCAGTATCCAGCACTCACTGTGTCCCCGACACAATGCCAGGGGCTAAGGATACAGAGCTCCGGCAATTCCCACCCTGCGGATGTGCTAGTCCTACTAATGAGTGACAGTAACACAAAGAACAACCCTACTGCAGCCAGATTCTGTCAGGGAGTGGACAGGGCATGGATAAGGACCAGGTGCTGTGGGCGCGCACAGGAGACTGTCACCCCGCGACACGTGGGCATGGGAACGGAGGGGAGGGAGTCTCACTCAGAGCCCTGGGTAAATCCAGATGACTCGAGTGGACCTGTAGCTACGTTAATCCCACTGAAATCCCGTCTGTCACTGACAATTGTATTAACACACACACTTCCTGTTTTATAAGGCAGAACCGGGGTCCAAGAGCAGCACACAGCAGTCATCATTCCAGCCCTAGCTCCCGGATGCCAAGCCGACCGGGCACTGGAGGACAGAGAACCGACTGCTACGGAACCCAAAGCCCAACGGAAGACACTTACACCATCCAATCCATCGTGGCTATTGGTGAGAAGAATAGGATCGGGCACTGGGAGATTCATGTCTGAGTGGATCTGCGTCAGGTCATGGATGTTCAGGATTGGCTCCTGAAAGAGAAAGGCCCACCCTCAAAGTCCTGCTCTCCTCAAGTTGAACAAAGCTTCTATTCCATTGGAATGGTTCAGACTCGAGAGAGCTTTATAGCACAAAACAGAATCGCCTCGCAGAATGTTCAGCACCAAACACCACTGGTGGAACTGGAGCACAGGGTCTCTCACCTTCAAAAAACTATCAAGTTCTAATAACTTCTTCGGGAAAAAATTTGCCACCAAGTCTTCTGCCTAAACAAAAGGAAAGTGCGACTGAATTAACAACCGTGGGACAGACTCTTCCTCTCTCTGCAGAGCCATCTCCTCTTTGGCAAAATTCCCCAACAAACTCATCCATACTCACCTCACTTGTGATCCGCTCCCTGAAAGAATCAACCTAAAATGAACAAAGATAGCAAATTCAGGAAAAGCAAGGCAGTACCTGGCCCCAGGGGCTGGTATGGGCAGAAGGAGGAAGAAATCCCAAATCCAGCTGTCCAACCCTCACCTGGCAATTGTAGTGAGAAGCTGAGAGGCCCCCAGACTGCAAATACTTAATTTTTTTGAGGATCCATTTCTCCATCTCAGGAGAGGCAGGTGGGGCTGGAAGCCAGCACCCCTTCCTCTCCCCTGCCTCACCTCGTCTGAGGGCTATCTGGCCCTGACAAGGCCCCAAGAGGAGGTGGCGGTGTGAGCTCACAAACGTGCCTGTCCCTACTCGCACCCGGGACCTGATAGAGCAAGCCAGCAAGCCGGCCAGTCGCCAAGGGCATGATGGGGGTAAGCGCCCAGGGGGGCTCGCGGACTTCCAGCTGTCACTGGCGCCAAGCACCGAGTCCAACACATGCCATCAGAAGTCTCCATCACCAGACGCGGGTACCAGAAGCCCCCACCATCGCCACTCCCATGCTAGCCTTTCCCCCCCTCAAAGCCGACTCCGAGAGTCGGTGGGGGGGCTGGGCTGAGCCGAACGGAAGCTCCGAGCTGTGTGTCCCCAGGGAGACAAAAGGCACCATGCGGGGGTCCGGAGGCGACCGACCGCAGGAGTGGTGGAGACAAGCAAGGGGTAAAGGAGACCCGGACCGGTCCGCTACCTTGAGCTTCACTTCCTGATCCACCTTCAGCAACGAGGCCATGGCCGGGCCGGGCCGTGTCCGCTCCGCTGGAGACCAGAGGCGCTGTGGGCTCCGGGGAGGGGCCAGAGGGACCTGAGGAATCTCGGCTGCCCGCGAGCACCCGGCCGGCGTCTATGGCTCCCTCCCTGCTCGCTCGTTCCCTCCGTGCGTGCGGTCCGTCCGCCTGCCCGCCTGCTGCTTGCCTGCCTGATGCCTGCTCGCACTCTCCCTCGCCCTCCCGGCTTTCGCCGCTCACGCCGGAAGTGGCGTCACAGCCAATGGCCGGGGCTCCCGCGAGGATGTGCGCACCCTCTGCGCAGCCGCACGGGTCGGGGCTCCGGACGGCGCGATGGGGACCCCGGTTCCTAGGTGGGCCGAGGGCGAAGCAGCTCGGCGGGCGGGCGGGCGGGCGGGCGGGGGGTGCTCTATGGAGAGCTGGGCTTTCGAGAGATTCGCCAACTGCTAGACCTTCTGTCGGCCCCTATCCCACGGGACCCTCCGAGCGCCGCTGCCCCCCTCGACGACGCCGTCGCGCTCCAGTGACGTCACCGGAGGAAGCCGGCGCCTGAGTACCGAGTTCGAGACTTCTGTTGGACGTTCCCGCTACTTTTTCTCTTTGGCTACAAATAATGAGGCCAGAGACAAACCAAACAACTTTCATTGCGCCATTTCCCTGATACGTTTCTCCGCTACTTATTAAACTTCCAGACCTAGGGGGTCAACTATCTACTGTGCAAATTGATGCCGCGGTGGTGTAGGGCTGACCCGAGGAACCCACGAGCCAGACCCCTGACAGCTCGGGTCATGCTGAATCTGTTTTTCCTCATGGAGACCTGAGACCATCTTTTCACCCTGGTTATTTCACTCAATAAAACGGCCCGTGGCGCTGTGACAGGCTTTGGAGCAGCACCCAGTGTCTCAAAGCCTAGAATTATTTTAGAATAAAATCACAGCTTAGCCACCTTTGAAAAGACCCAAGTGGAATTAATTCTCCTGTTTAACTCAGTGTATCCAAATACAGTCAGCCCTCCATGTCTGCTGTCCCCCGCCCTCAGCTTCTGCTAATCCCCGTTGGAAAATGATTGCAGGGGAAAGCTGACAGTATACTGAACTCATACAAACTTGTTTCTCATCATTGTTTCCTAAACAGCACACTGGAACAGCCACTTACAGAGCAGTGATGTTGTCTGAGAGAGGGGCACCTGTCGGGTGGATAAGGTGCCCACATCTGGCATGGAAATAGCGGGTCCATGCCGGCTCCTTCCTGCTGAGGCAAACCCTGGGAGTCGGCGGTGATGCCCAAGCATGTGGGTTCCTGTCATCTGTGTGGGGGATCTGGATTAAGTTATTTAGGTTTCTTTTTTTTTTTAAGATTCTATTTATTTATTTATTTTATTGGAAAAGCAGATATACAAAGAGGAGGAGAGACAGATAGGAAGATGTTCCGTCTGATGATTCACTCCCCAAGTGACCTCAATGGCTGGTGCTGCGCCAAACCAAGGCCAGGAGCCAGAAACTTCTTCCAGGTCTCCTACGTGGGTGCAGGGTCCCAAGGCTTTGGGCCATCCTGGACTGTTTTCCCAGGCCACGAGTAAGGAACTGTATGGGAAGCAGGACCACCAGGATTAGAACCGATGGATCCTGGTGCATTCAAGGAGAGGACTTTACCCACTAAGCCAGGGCTCCAGGCCCCTGAATATGGCTTTTTTCTTAAATAATTGTGTTTTACTTCCTCTAAGTAGGTTGTAAAAGGCTAATACACATTCTACCTTCCTCTTTCCCATTCGTAGTTTCCATTGTACTCCACTTGGTTGGTTCCTCTGAATGTTTAGAGGATGCCACTGTATAAGCAAATACCAATCATTTCTGGGTGCTTAAAATCACATAGAATCGCTGAGTTTGGGTCTGACTTAAAATTCATGTTGGTTCTGGTGTTGTGGCATAGTGGGTTAAGCCAGTGCTGGCAATGCCAGTTCTCAGAGCATTGACTCAAGTCCCAGCTACTCCCCTTTTTGGTCCAACTTCCTACTAGTGCACCCGAAAACGCACCAGATGATGGGTTCCTGCTTCAGCTTGTTCCAACACTGGCTGTTGGAGTCATTGGGGAATAAATTAGCAGTTGGGAGATCTCTCTCTCTCCCTGCTCTCTCTTTTTTTCTCTGCTTTTCAAAGAAATAGATTTTTGGGAAATAAAAGCATCAGGTTTAACTCTCCAACTGGTGCATAGCCTGCCTGCCTGCACACCTTACGTCCTGCAAGTTTTCTCTCCCACACTCCAAGTGGTCGTTACACTTTTTCATCTCCCAGAACCCCCGGTGTTCATTCCCTCCCACCTCCGTGCATCATCTTGCCTCCCTTTTGATTGAGAAAACAGAAACAAATGAGAATGTCTTCATCACTCATTACCTCCGAATGTGCCAGGCCACACACATTTCCTCCTCTCAGCGAGGAAAACATCCCTGTCCCCCTCAAGACCCCGCCTTCCCTTTTGTGCATGGAACCCACCCCTTTTACTTTCTCAAGGTCTGTGCCCCAGTGACCAGCCCCCCTTTTTCCTATTTCACATTTTCCTCTGCTGGCTTATTGGTGGCATGGCTGCCCCTCTCCCATCTTGAGAAAAGCCCGGTTGAACCCAGCCTCCTCTCAATGCTCCTTCTCTGTCTTTGCTCTTCTTCATGAGGAGAATTCTTGTCTGTTCCTCTCCCTTCCTAGTTGATCTAGACCACTCTAACCAGACTTTCCAGACTCCCTCCTTCCTTAAGATCAGGCTTGTAGGTCACCAAGGACAGTACCGTGGCTACCTTGCTTCATCTTAGCTGGACCTCTCCGTGGTGCTCAACACATTCACCACTCCTGAAACACACGCAGCAGCCTGCTCTTGTTTTCACCAGCCCCCGTGCCGACTTCTCTTCCTTTGAATAGTCCTCCTGTTCTTCACTTCTTTGTCTTACTCCTTTACTCTGTGCTTATACTTTCTAAAAGAGTTTACATCCATTCATAACTTCAAAAAAATCCACCTGCTGAGGACTCCCAGCTTTGATCTCCACTCCTAACATCTTCACTGAGGTTCATCTTGGGTACATAATGGACATCTCAATTCTTAACGCTCCCACACAGCTGTCACTTGGTTATTTTTCCCCCAAGGTTTCTGGAGGGCCATGCTCCCTCTGGTGGTGCTGGGGAGAATTGTGACCTGTCCCCACACATCACTCTGCTACACACACACACACACACACACACACACCTGGCACCTTTTGTTAACTAGTCACACTAGATGGGCATCCATTGTGATAACCTCAGTGACCTGATGATCTGCAAGGACCCTCTTTCCAAGTAAAGTAACAGTCTCTATGATCCAAGTTCTAGTGGTTAGAACTTCAGCATCTTCGGGGGCACACCACTGAGCTGGTAATACTACCATTGTCTGAAAATATTTATGTGTTTATTTTCAAATTGTCCTCTAGACTTTAAAATACTAAATCATTCACCAATGCGTCTTTCTAGACCTTGAAAAGCAGTTGTAGTGAGTCTTCCATACTTATCGGAGCAATGAGACAAGACATGCTGTGAGTGATCTATGATGCTTCAAGCACTGTGTGCCTCGGCTGTCATGTGCTCCCCAAGTGCCCATGGATCCTTCCACTTGGCCATCACACTGCTAGATCTGATACATGCTCTTCGTTCCCACTGTTCTCATTTTGTTAAAGAGAGAACAAGGCACGCGGCAGTTGAGTAGCTTGCACAAGGTCACGGGCAGGTGGATGGCAAAAGATCTGTTCAGCACCCCTGCAGTCTAGCTGCGCAGACCCTCAGTGGTGAGTGGTACAAGCACACTCCCCCCAAGGCTGTTACCTCTCTGTGCCTTTGTGGGATGGCATTTGTGGCTGTCGAGCAGGAAGAGCTTGGGACTCTGCATGAGCCCCAAGCGGCCTAGGGGAGAACTCTCTGGAATGATTCCGCTCACCTCCTCCTCTAGAGAAAAGTCGCAGGCCGAAGGAACTAAGAGGAGGGCGGCTCTGAGATAATTTCTGATGAATAATACTGGGAGCAGTCCCGCTCCATGCACGCAAGAGGGTCACACGCATTTGAAGCGAGCTGTGAGGACATGACTTTAGACGCATGGTCTCCCTCCAAGTGTCTTGTTTGAGTCCTGGAGTCTGCATGCATTCCAGCTTCCCATCAGTGTACCCGCTCGGGGTAGTGGGTGACTGCTCAAGTAGTGGGGTCTTAGCCACCCAGATGGAAGGCTTGGGTTGAGTTCGCCCTGACCCAAGCCTGGCTGTTGTAAGTATTTAGGAAGCAAAACAGGATGTGAATTTTATACTTACTCTAAGTATAGAATTATGCAAATATTTTAGGGGCTGTTTTTTGGCACAGTGGGTTAAGCCATTGATTGCTACACCTGCATCCCATATGGGAGTGCACGTTCAAATCCCAGCTGCTCCATTTTTGATCCAGCTTCCTGCTCATGTGCCAGGGTAACAGCAGATGATGATGAGATGGAATTCCAAGATCCTAGCTTTGGTCTCACTCAGCCCCGGCTTTTACAACCATTTGGGAAATGGAACAACATGTGGAAAGATCTTTCCATTCCTCTCTCTCATTACCTTTTACATAAAGCTTTTTTAGGGCCCAGCAAGGTAGCCTAGTGACTAAAGTCCTTACCTTGAACGCGCCAGGATCCCATATGGGCACTGGTTCTAATCCGGCAGCCACACATCCCATCCAGCTCCCTGCTTGTGGCCTGGGAAAGCAGTGAAGGACGGCCCAAAGCCTTGAGACTCTGCACCCACATGGGAGATGCGGAAGAGCTCCTGGCTCCTGGCTTCGGATTGGCTCAGCTCTGACTATTGCGGTCACTTGGGGAGTGAGTCATTTACTTTTCAAATAAATAAATAAACTGAGATCATATGATACCTGAAAGAAGCCAGACATAAAATACCACATATTGTATAATTTCGCTGCAATGAAATGCTTGGAAAAGGCAAATGTATTTAAACAGTGAATAAGTAGGGCTCTCTGTGTAGGGGTGGGAATGAACTGTAAAGAGCTACACGAATGCCAGAAAATGTTCTAAAATGACCTACACACTTCAAAGGGGTGAACCTTACGGTACGGAAAATGGTACTCTCCTAACTCCCTACATGTTTATGTTTAGGGCCAGCGCTAGGGTGCCGCGGATTAGGCCTCAGTCGGTCACGCCGTCCCCAACACCAGAATTCCGCCTTCCCCAGGCGAAGCCCTGGCGGGGATGAACGAATTCAACACCGGGGGGCAGCACCGCACGGCCCACGGCCCGCGACTGTCGGCCGGCGTGACGTCACGCCCGGCCCCGGGCGGAAGTCCTCCGCCGGAGGACCGGGAAGTAGCTACAGTCTGAGGCGATGGCGATTCTGGAGGCCTCGCTCTGGGGCCGATCCGGGGCTGCGGTGCCCCCGCGATAGACCGAACCTGAGTGGCCGGCTCTGGGGCCCCGAGGTGAAGAGCGTGAGGGACTGAACGGGGACTTTAGAAGGGAACGTCGGAACCCTGGTGGTCCCTGTAGGACCGAATCTCCCTGAAGCTGGGTTCCAATGGGCTTTGCCTGGGCTGCCCCCCAAAGCAGGTGCGCCGGGGGTCGTACGGTTCCCAGAGGGACGGGAGCGGGCCAGGGTCTTCCTCCGTCCCCGAGGCAGGTAGTAGCGCAAGGGTGCCGGTCCTGCCTAACGCCGCCTCGTCTCCCCCCGCCGCAGGGATGGAGGGTTCTAAGGCGTCCAGCAGCACCATGCAGGTGAGCTTCGTGTGCCAGCGCTGCAGCCAGCCCCTCAAACTGGACACGAGCTTCAAGATCCTGGACCGGGTCACCATTCAGGAGCTCACAGGTCAGCGAGGTCCTTGGCAAGAGGGTGGCCACGAGCGTGGAGAGTGGGCAGCTCTAACGATGTGAGGCTGACTTGTGGCATCTTGCAGACTGGCCGGGAGAAGCTGGGGGGAGGTGCTGTGTGTCTGTGGCTCCCCATTTTCTCACCGGACACTTGGAGCTTTCCGTAACAGAGGCTTTTGTGTTTCTGCTTATCTGTGGAGCACTCAACCTTGACATGCACCAAGGCCATTACCCCAGAGTGGTGTCATCCTTACATCACTTGATGTGAGCAGTTGAGACTGAGGTTCAGTGACTAACCCGGGGTCCAACAGAAGTGAAATGAGGTTTGAGAAGAGAACAAACACACAAAAAAGTTTAAATCAACTTGTGGGTCAGGAATCAGCCAGCTTTAGTTTGCCTTTCAAAACAAGTGATTTTATTTATTTGGAAAAGTTAAAGGGAGAGAGATCTGCCAGCCATTGGCTCACTCCCTAAATGACTGCAGTGATGGGCTGGGCTGGGCCATGCCAGGCCAGGCTGGGAGTCACACCTGGATCTCTCAGGCACAGAGACGGGGCCGAAGCACTTGGGCCATCCTCTGCTGCTTTCTCAGGTGCACCTGCATAGAGCTGAACAGGAAGTGCAGCAGCTGGGACTTGAACTGGCATCCATTGGAGATGCCAGCACTGGGCCTAACCCACGCCGCTGGCCCCAGTTCGCTGGGGCTCAGTCCTAGCTCTCACTTGCTACCTGAGCAGTGTTTCACATGTTACTTCCCCTTTCTGAGCCCTGGTGTTCACTATTTTTTATTATCCGATGCCTGTTTTTTGGTGGTATTATCTAATAGGTTTTTTACTTTTTCTGATGGAAAATTTTCAAACAGATGTGTGTACAGGCAGGTGAGTAGAACAGTGTCCTCTCCTGTCCGCCACTCAGCTTCAACAGCCAGGTTCTGCCATCCTGTAGGTATATATGTATATTTAGCTATTTTGATTTGAAAGGCAGAATTAGAGAGAGAGAATGAGAAACAGAGAGCTTCCATCTGCTGCTTCACTCCTCAAATGGCTGCAGTGGCCAGAGCTGGAAGCCAGGAGCTTCTTCCAGGCCTCCCGATGGGCAGAGGCCCAAGCACGTGGGCTTTCCACCACTGTTTTCCCAGATCATTAGCAGGGAGCTGATTTGGAAATGGAACAGCTTGGAATTGAACTGGCACTGCAGATGGAGGCTTAACTGGCTAAGCCATGACACCTGCCCCAGACTCTGCCATTCTTACATTTTCTACACCTCCAGTCATTTCACATCTCTCTCCCAGTTATGACTGTCACACTCTTTTTGTTTTTTAAAGTTATAATTATTTATTTGAAAGAGTTACACAGAAAGAGATAGACATTTTCTATCTGCTGTGCAGATGGCTACAATAGCCAGGGCTGGGCCAGGCCAAAGGCAAGGAACCAGGAGCTTCATCCTTGTGTCCCACATAGTGATGGTGGTTCAAAGACTTGAGTCATCCTCCACTGCTTTTCCAGGCCACAAGCAGGGAGCTGAATGGGAAGTGGGACTGCTGGGACATGAACAGGCTCCCATATGGGATCTCAATGAGTGCAAGGCAAGGACTTTAGCCACTAGGCTACTATGCTGGACCCTAAACAAATCTGTAAATATATATTAAAAGTGACCCAGTGCAGTAGCCTAACGGCTAAAGGCCTCAGCTTGAACGCGCTTGGATCCCATATGGGCACTGGTTCTAATTCCAGAGGACCCCACTTCCCATCCAGCTCCCTACTTGTGGCCTGCGAAAGCAGTTGATGACAACCCAAAGCCTTGGGAACCTGAACCCCTGTGGGAGACCTGGAAGAAACTCCTGGTTCCTGGTTTTGGATTGGCTCAGCTCTAGCAGTTGTAGCTGCTTGAGGAAGATCTTCCTATCTGTCTCTCCTCCTCTCTGTATATCTGCCTTTCCAATAAAAATAAATAAATCTTTAAAATATATACACACATACATATATGTGTACATACATGTATGTATGTATGTGGATAGATAGATAGACTTTCCCCGTTCCCTTATGTACTTTTCCAGTTATCCAAGGGGGAAGGGAGTGTTGACTGTGGGATTTTCTTGTGTTTGGTGTGTGTATATGTGTGGGGGTGTGTGGTGTATGTTTTGTGTGTGTGTATATGGTGTTTATTTGTGTATGTATATTTGGTGTGTGTGTTATATCAGCATAGATTGCAGCAGCTTCACTTGCTGCGCTGTAGTGCTGTTTGCTAAGTTAACTTTTTTTTTTAAAGATTTATTTTTATTGAAAAGGCAGATTTACAGAGAGGAGAGACAGAGATCTTCCACCCGCTGGTTCACTCCCCAAATGGCCACAACAGTTGGAGCTGAGCCAGTCTGAAGCCAGGAGCCACTTCCACATCTCCCATGAGGGTGCAGGGTTCCAAGGCTTTGAGCCATCCTCTGCTGCTTTCCCAGGCTATAAGCAGGGAGTTGGAGTGTAAGTGGAGCATCCAGGACTAGAACTGGTGCCATATGGGATGCTGATGCTTGAGGGTGGAGGGTTAACCGGTTGAGCCATGGTGCCAGCCCCAGTTGTTAGCTTTTACAATGGAAATTTTTTTTAAGATTTATTTATTATTACAAAGTCAGATATACAGAGAGGAGGAGAGACAGAGAGGAAGATCTTTCGTCCGATGATTCACTCCCCAAGTGAGTGCAATGGCCGATGCTATGCCAATCCGAAGCCAGGATCCAGGAACTTCTTCCGGGTCTCCCACACGGGTGCAGGGTCCCATGCTTTGGGCCGTCCTTGACTGCTTTCCCAGGCCACAAGCAGGGAGCTGGATGGGAAGCAGGGCCCTCTGCAATTAGAACCAGTGCCCATATGGGATCCCAGCGCGTTCAAGTCAAGGACTTTAGCCACTAGGCCACCTCACCGAGCCCTACAGTGGAAATTTTAAAATGTATATGGATCTCTGTGTGCTCATCACCTGGTTTTAGCAGTTACCACACACACTGCATCATATTTCATCTCCAGCCCCATCCATTCCTTCCACCGTGAATTATTCTGAAGAAAATCCAAATATAAAATGACCGTGAATATTTTTTAAGGATATGGATTTTCTAAAATAATCATGATGCCACTAACATCTTACTCTGATTTTACGGGAGTGGTGGGAACACCAGATTCTTGGTGTAAACGGTACTTTAAGGTACTGCATGTTAAACTTTCTGCTGCCTGCAGTGTCAGCATCCCATATGGTCCCTGTTCAGGTCCCTGCTGCTGCCTGCAAATGCACCTGGGAAGGCAGCAGAGGATGGCTCAAGTCCTTGGGCCCCTCCCACCCATGTGAGAGGCCTACATAAAGGTCTGGGCTCCTGGACTCAGCCTGGCCCGGCCCAGGCTGTTGTTGCCATTTGGGAAGTTGAACCAGCAGATGGAAGACCTCTTTCTCTTTCTGTCTCTCCCTCTTTCTCGGTAACTCTGCCTTTCAAATGAATAAACAAATCCTAAGGGAGAGGGAGGAATGGAGGTGAGGTAGCGATGAAGATATTTCAGATTCTTTTCTCCTACTTCCGTGAGTGCCCCTGCCTTGCTAAGACTGGTTCTGACTGATCGTTTTCCTTGCCACAGCTCCGTTACTTGCCACAGCCCAAGTCAAGCCAGGAGAGACCCAGGAGGAAGAGGCGAACTCAGGAGAGGTAATACAGGTGTCCTGTCCTTCCCATGTAAATAGTCCGAGTGGGAGGTTTGATGTGAAAACAAGAATGTAGGCTGGGTTCCTGCAGGGTATTTTGGGGGTTGCTGGGTGACAGGAGACCTTCGGTGGTGCCAGATCACTTTAGATTGTTGGCACTGCAAAAGTACGCCTGAGGCCCCAGCTAGCCAATAGCAATGTGGAGAGGACTCCTGTATGCTTGAGGCAGAATTCTAGACAGTGAAGGGCAGGGTGGGATGGACTGTGTGTCCACGCCCTATCATCTGCTGTTGCAGCTGGTGAGAGATGTCCATCCTTCTCCTTCTGGACCACATGCTGTGTGATTACACTAGCTTGGAATGGACAACCTTTTTGTCCACAAGAGCCATTGGATATTGATGACATTATTGGGAGCCACACAAAATTACCAGCACTGTGGAGTTATTTGTTGAATTCTGGGTCCTGCCTGCAGTTGTCTTGACAGGGCCGGAGTGAAAGGTCTACAGGCATCTCGTGACCTACTGGCCGTCTGGTCAGCACCCCTGTCCTAGACAGTAAGACTGGCAGCACTAGAGAATGTGTCATATGTAAAACTGTGGAAATGTCAGTGAATGTGTTAAAAATGGCTTGTTTTAAATGCACAACATTTTATCTGGGAGGAGACCACCCTGGCAGGAGGAAAAGATGTGAGAGGGAAAAGGGAAGGAAGCAAAGGGAGGGGGTGTGGTCAGCAACACCCGTGGGTGTCTTGGGGGGCGTCTATGGCCACATCCCATGAAATGACCTGGAATATTCCCCAGAGACTGACCCTGCCCTGCTAGGGGCAGCTGAGGGACTCACCTGTCACAGCTGCCCACCGTTTACAGCAGCCTGTCGTCTTGGCTGGTTCCTCCAGCTATCAGTCCAGGGGCCGGAGAGCCTTCAGCAAGGAGGCGCAGGGGACTGTCTGTAGAAGTCAGGAGATGTTGGGAAGATTTTGGTCACATTTAAATCATTTCAAAACACCAGCAGGGTAAACGATGGGCTTTGTCTATACTGTGGAAAACGTCATGGCAGCCAGATCTGGTTTTTGACTTAGAGCATTCTTCTACTATCCCTGACCAGAAAGTGTTGAGAAAACACCACATTTCATTAGAAGTGGAATGTCATGAAGGAAATATCTGATCCCCATAAGAAAAATAAATAAGTAAATGGTCACACGGGATCTTGGGTTAGTCTGTACCATGGCTCCTTTCTAAGGCACGCACAGGGAATGATCCAGTAATACCCCCTGAAGTGTCTGTGGTTTGTTAGTCCAGTGGTTATCAATCAAGTAAAGCCAGTTACTTCTGAAACTGGGGCTCAGGCCCCTCCTCTAAGCTGCCAGAGTGCTAATGCTTGTATTTCGTCTTCCCTAGGAACCCTTTATTGAAACCCGTCAGGATGGTGTCTCTCGCAGATTCATCCCCCCAGCCAGGTGCCTACAACTCCTCATCCCCCTTTCCCTTGCCAAAGGCCAGTGGCATGGTGACTGAGCCCAGAAATTGAGCCCTGGGGCCAGATGCTGGAGGTGAATCATCGCCTAGCCTTTTGGCGCTTTTCGGAAAAGCTGTAGTCCCATATGTAGCCTCTTACCTCCTACTGTTGATTGGGTTCCTGCAGCCCTTCACGCTGTGCAGAGGAACGGGAGCTCTGATGAGGCATGTGGAGGAGCTGAGGGAGGAACTAGCTAGCAGAGGAGATGGAGTTCTTGAGAAGTTGTGGAATAGTGAATGTTAGACTTCCAGGTGCAGCAGAAGGTGACTGGCCAAGGGTGTGGTCCCGAAACACAGACTTTTCCTGATTCTCCCCTCCTTTTCTACCATAGACACACATGACAATTGTTGATGCCCCGTCTCCCTCCTTAGTCCCTCCAAGCCAACCTTGGTGCTGAGTGCCCCCTGTGGAAGACCAGCCTGGCCTTCCCTTGGGAGAGAGGCACCCCTGGGAGGTCAGTTGGGCTAGGAGTGGGTGTGCGCCCAAGGCCCCTCAGCAGGGCCGGGAGAGTCTGGCACTGGCAGCACAGTAGGTGGAGGAGGCCTCTCTGCTCCCTCACCTGGCCTGTGGGCGGGGGGCTGTCTGCAGGATGATGTCCACAGAAAGTGCTAACAGCTTCACTCTGATCGGGGAGGCTTCTGATGGTGGCACCATGGAGAACCTCAGCCGAAGACTGAAGGCAAGTTGGTCCTGTTCTGGTGTTCAGCAGTGGACCCGGGTCAGGGGGAGCCGGGCTGATCACACAGGGAGATCTCACCCTGCCTCTGCCATACCTTCAGGTCACTGGGGACCTTTTTGACATCATGTCAGGCCAGACAGATGTGGACCACCCGCTGTGTGAGGAGTGCACAGACACTCTGTTAGACCAGCTGGACACTCAGCTCAATGTCACCGAAAATGAGTGTCAGAACTACAAGTGAGTGTCTCTGGAGCCAGGGCCCATGGGGTTGGGGTCCTTGAGCTGTTCCTGCTCCCGCCCCCATGACAGGTCCTGTGCAGCTTGCAACTGGCTGCAATGGCGGGGCCCTCTGCTAAGCACACTCAGCCTGCCTCTGTCCTGGACAGGCGCTGTCTGGAGATCTTGGAGCAAATGAATGAGGATGACAGTGAACAGCAGCTCCAGAAGGAGCTAAGGGAGCTGGCCTTGGAGGAAGAACGGCTGATCCAGGAGCTGGAAGATGTGGAAAAGAACCGCAAAATTGTGGCAGAGAATCTGGAGAAGGTCCAGGCTGAGGCCGAGAGACTGGATCAGGAGGAAGCTCAGTGAGTGTCCCCTGCTCCCCGCCTCCCCCTCAGTGTCCCCTGCTCCCCGCCTCCCCCTCAGTGTCCCTTGCTCCCCGTCTCCCCCTCAGTGTCCCCTGCTCCCCGCCTCCCCCTCAGTGTCCCCTGCTCCCCGCCTCTCCCCTCCAGGCTGCAGACAAGAAAATGGCTTCCAGTTGAAGAGGCCTGATCAGTTGGGGGACCATGGTCAGCTGCCAGTGGGTGGCTTCTCTGCTCTGCCTACCTTGGTTGCCAAGGTTCTGTAGGATGTGTCAGCATAGCCAGGTGAACAAAAGAATAGCCAGGGAGCACAGAAACCAGAGGCCTGGTCTCTGTTCTATCAGGAGTGGACCCTTTTGTTCTCATCTAGAAATGTGAACATAATAGCCTGCACCTGTTCTCTACCTTTGTAGATTTATTTATTTGTTAAGTGGGTTTTATTCTTGTTTGGTTGTTTTGTTTTTGCTTTTGTTTTTGTTTGGTTAGACTGATTTATAAAGAGGAAAGAGAGAGAACTTCCATCTGCTGGTTCACTCCCCAAGTGGCCACAAATGGCTGGAGTTGGGTGGGTCTAAAGCCAGGAGCCAGGAACTTCTTCCAGGTCTTCCCCATGAGTGCAAGACTTCTCACACTTGGGCTATCATATTCTGCTTTCCCTGGCCATTAGCAAGGGAGAGAAAGTGGAGCAACCAGGACATGAACTGGCACCCATATGGGATGCTGGTGCTGCAAGGCAGAGGAATAGCCTGTTGAGCCAGCCACTATGCTGGCCCTGTAAATTTATTTTTGTTTAGAGGGAGACCGAATGGTTCAGCCCCCTGAATGCCTGCGACAGCCAGGGCTGGACCCAGCTGAAGCCAGCAGGCAGGGACTCCCATGGGTCTCCCATGGGGGTGGTAGGAACTCAACTCCTTGGGCTCTCACCTGCTGCCGCCCAGGGTATGCATTTCACAGGAACTTGGAATCAAGAGTGGAGTCAGGGCTTGAACCAGGCACTCGGATACGGGTTGCAGGTATCCTTACTGGCAACTTAACCACTGTACCACGTGCCCAGCCATGTCAGGGACGTGTTGACCTGAGGGAACCCTCTGCACGAGGAGAAAATGTCTGCACAGAAGTTGAAAGAATCAGGGGCTGAGAAGAAAGTTCATTTTTTGTTTTTGTTTTATAGAAATATTTAGCTATTTCCATTTGAAAGGCAGAGTTTGAGAAGCAGAGATAAAGATTTTCCCTATGCTATTTCACTCTCCAAATGGCTGCAGTGGCAGAGCTGGGTCGCACAGGATCCAGAGCTTCCTCTCGGTCTCCCATGTGGGTGCAGGGTCCTAAGGCTTTGGGCTGTCCTTTACTGCTGTCCTAGACCATAAGCAAGAAGCTGGATGGGAAGTGGAACATTTGGGACACAAATCAACTCCCTTTTGGGATGCTGGCACTGCAGATGGAAGCTTAGTCATTGCCACAGCACTGGCCCCAGTTGGTTTTTCACAAAATAACGGGCAGTAATGTATACAAATAAAGTTATAGAGCTTAGCTGTGTCAATTTATACTTAAAAGTCGCTTTTGGGGCCCAGCGCAATACTCTAATTGCTAAAGTCCTCACCTTGCATGCGCTGGGATCCCATATGGGTGCTGCTTCATATCCTGGGTGCTCTACTTCCCTTCTAGCTCCCTGCTTGTAGCATGGAAAAATAGTTGAGGATGGCCTGAAGTCTTGGGACCCTGCATTCACATGGGAGACTTGGAATAGGCTCCTGGCTCCTGGCTTCTGATTAGCTCAGCTCCTGCCGTTGCAGCCACTTGGGGAGTGAACTAGCGGACTGAAAATCTTTCTGTCTCTCCTCTCTAAATCTGACTTTCTAATGAAAATAAATTTTTAAAATTAAGTAAAAGGCTTTTGCCTCATTTCTGAAGAAGGTGAGAAATACAAGAAGTTTTTGTCCTGGTTTGGGAGAGCCCTTTCCTCCCTCCACTTCCTACCTGTGGGCAGCTCAAATTTGCGACATTTTTGTCCCTTCCAGGCCAAACAACCAGAGCATCTATTCTGTGAGGTGGGGGGATCTATGTCGACTATAATAGCTGCTGTAACTGGGGGTGCCGGGATCGCCCAGAGGTGTGACAGTAGAGAAACTCGAACCTCCGGGCTATTGGCTGCTCACAGGTATCAGAAAGAATACAGTGAATTTAAGCGACAGCAGCTGGAGCTGGACGATGAGCTGAAAAGTGTAGAAAACCAGATGCGGTACGCGCAGCTGCAGCTGGACAAGCTGAAGAAGACCAACGTCTTCAACGCGACCTTCCACATCTGGTAACGAGGACCAGGATGGGAGGGACACCGGGGTGCATTGTGTGTGTGGCCCTCAGCTATTGACTACTAAGCCAGGGCGCCCTCAGCACCCCCAAGGGGGACCGCAGGTCCTCTTCACTCAGATCCCTGCCCTTGCTGTGACGGGGCAGGGTGGTGGGTTTCTAGAGCTTGGCGACAGCCACCAAAGGAAAGGCAGCCAAAAAGGAAGAGCTCTCTAGCTGAGCCCTTCAGCCCCGGGAAAGCCTCGCACGGCAACCCAGTGCTGATTTCTCACCCCCACCATTATCTGTGTTTTCATGCGCTAGATGCTGTATCCATTTAACTAGTAACTGCTGAGTGAGCACTTGCTGCATGGTAGCCACAGTGCTAAGCACTAGCAGGGCAGCTCCGGCAGCGGCTGTGAAACAAGGCAGTATGGAAGCCCCAGGGTGCCATGGGGACACAGAAGGGCATTCTACCCAATTCAGGGAGACCATGTGGCACACACGCGCGCACGCACACACACAGAGGAAGTGATGTTTAACCTGAGAGGGGAAGCAGAACTCTGTGGCGGCGGAGTGATGCCCACCGGAGAAAACATTGTGGGTCAAGGAAGGAGGGAGGGGAGCATCCTGAAATCAGAGGAGCTTATTGTGACTAAAGATGGAGTGTCAGGAAGCCAGAGAACTGATGGCCCCTGCAGCGTCATGTTCGCCTGCTTGTAGAGTTTGGGCTTACCCAAGTAGGCAGTGGGAGCCCCTGAATTATTTTAGGGCAAGAGTTATATTTACAATGGACACCTGTAACTGTTGTGTGAGAAATGCCTTGTCCAGCAGAACATTCGGGAGGGATCTACAGAAAGAAGGAGTAGCAGAGTTTGCAGAAGTGGAGAGTAAGAGAATAAAGGCAGTGGGGATTCAGGGAGAGGAGCTGAGCAGGAGCACTGAGGGATGACCCCTGGGTCTCCTTGGCCTCTGCCCAGCAGAGATGATGACTCAGTGGGAAGCACGGATGAAGGTGCCAGGTGGAGCTGCAAGTGCGCTGCCACGAGAAGAGGGAAATTTATGCTGGGCTAATGTAGGTGAGAGTGGAAAACTGCACTTTTAAGGGCTCCCCTGAATTTGCCCTGCCTTCGGCTGTCCTCCACAGGCACAGTGGACAATTTGGCACAATCAATAACTTCCGACTGGGTCGCCTGCCCAGTGTTCCTGTGGAATGGAACGAGATTAATGCTGCTTGGGGCCAGACAGTGTTGCTGCTTCATGCCCTGGCCAATAAGATGGGTCTGAAATTTCAGAGGTAAGAAATGCAGCTCTCTTTTGGGGTGTGGTGTGTCTTTGATACCCTGGTCTCGTGAGAACACTGGGGTGCTGCCTCCCGGGATTGTCTAGGCACGGTCCTGTCCACCTGTGTGTGTTCTGCTCTAGGTATCGGCTGGTCCCCTATGGAAATCACTCGTACCTGGAGTCTCTGACAGACAAATCTAAGGTAATCCGGGAAGCTACATTTGGACTAAGTACAGGATTCTTAATATTTTATTTTTTGTTTGTTTTTCTTTTTTAAGATTAATTTATTTGAAAGAGTTACAGAAGGGGGCTGGGGACAGAGAAAGCATCTACCCACTGGTTCACTCCTCAGATGGACACAGTAGCCAGGACTTGGCAAGGCCAAAGCCAAAAGCCAGGAGCTTCATCTGGATCTCCCATTTGGGTGACAGGGGCCCAGATGCTTGGGCCAGCTTCTGCCTTTCCCAGGCCATTAGCAAGAAGTGCAACAGCTGAGACATAAACCAATGCCAGTATGGGATGCCAGCATTGCAGGCAGTGGCTTTACCTGCTATGCCACAATGCCAGCCCCAAATGTTTAGTTTTAATATTGGCATCATTCAGTTTCTTAGATTGAAATATCTCATGGAGGGCCAATGTTTTGTTTAGGTTTAGCTCTTTTAGGGTTTGCAGGAAAAAAAGCTATTACAGCTGGATGAGAGGGGAAGTGGAGCACGTCATAGGGGCTGTGTGCTGGGGTGGGGTCGCAGTCCTGGTGAGGGAGAGGATGGTGCGTTTGCACTCGCAGTGGAAAGGGGTGAGGGGAGTTACTTGCCCCTAGTTGCTGCAGTTGTTCCAGGTTATGGGCGATGATAGAATGCAGCCACCGTGGATACTACCGACGCATACAGATCGCACATGGCCCGGGAGACTGACAGGATTGGGAACTGCCCCAGTTCACCGCTCTTAGTCCCTCAAACCCTACTTTCTTTTTCTCTCCCTCTCATGTGACAGGAGCTTCCATTGTACTGTTCTGGGGGGCTGCGGTTTTTCTGGGACAACAAGTTTGACCACGCAATGGTGGCTTTCCTGGACTGTGTGCAGCAGTTTAAAGAAGAGGTTGAAAAGGGCGAGACACGTTTTTGTCTTCCTTACAGGTCAGTATCCCCCGCGCTGAGAGGGCTGTAGTAGACCCAAACAGGACAGAGTGAAAGCACAAGAATGCAGGCCTGCACGTCTCAGTGGTGGGAAAGCCAAAAGTGGCACAGGCCCGTGACCCTGATGGCAGAGGCTTCATCTAGCACTGCAAGCAGGACAGAATGTGACCACTGAGGCCCTGGAGCCCAAGAATGTTGTCTTAGGTGGTTTTGTGGGTTTTCTTGGCACTGAGCTCAAGCCCGCTCTCCAATTTCAGAAAGGTTTTTTCCCTGAAGCCCTTGGAGACTTAACAGGAATGCTTCTTTTGGTCAAAACCGGTAGAAGCCCAGTGATGGATAGAAACCCTAGTTCAGGAAAGCGAGGCTGAGCCGCTTGTCACCCCAAAACAGCATTCCTTCTCTTCTGCCCTCCCAAGTTCAGGGGTGCCGGGAAAACAGTAGGAAGAATTCCAGTCTTCCTTCACCCCTGCTGCAGGCCTCTGGTGTGTGTGGGAGTGTGTCCTGTCCCTGTCCTTGGCAGTGACAATGGGCTCTTGTGACAGTCTTCTTGATTTTTGGCTTTCAAGCAAATCCAAGATACACGACCATCCCTGCCAAGTGGTCTTTAAGAGATACGTTGACGCAGATGGTCCCGGGATCGCATCCCTGCCCATTGGCCTGAAATGATGTGTTACTCATGAGCTCTGCCATGTCCCTCTGCAGGATGGACGTGGAGAAAGGCAAGATTGAAGACACAGGAGGCAGCGGCGGCTCCTATTCCATCAAAACCCAGTTCAATTCTGAGGAACAGTGGACAAAGGCTCTCAAGTTCATGCTGACCAACCTCAAGTGGGGCCTTGCGTGGGTGTCCTCACAGTTTTATAACAAATGACTTTCCTGAAGGGATGTTTGTTTGCCTTAAAGGCTTCACATTTTGTTGTGTTTGCAGAAAGTTTAAATTTGGGTAATATTAAACAGCATATGTTTACAATACCAAAAAAAGACAAAATCCACAAAAGCCACTTTATTTTAAAGTATCATATGACAGCGTCTCCACAGCTGCCACATGCCATGGACAGTCACCAACCCGGGTCACAGTTTTGACTCTTACCCCATGCCTGCCGTCCTCCCTCCTCTGAAAACAACTAATTTAACTTTGCTTTTTTTTTTTTTTTATTGAGTTAAATTGAAGTTGATATGTTCTCACTGGATTTTAGCTCTCGACTTCCTGCACTTCAAATATGAAATAGAAACTTTTGTCGCTACCGAGACGAGATGTTTGGGACACACAGTTGTGAGAAAATGACATCTAAGCTTTGTCTGGTCACCATGTGATGTGCTCAGAAACTTGAAATCAAACACTTCTCACTGAATGTCTGCTCTGTGTTAGAGATAATGAGGTGGTGTTTGATACTGTTTGAGACATTATTGAGAGATTTATTTGTAATAAAAGATTTGCTACAGTCTGATAACTGCGCAGAGGTGAACTATTGGGGTTTTTGTTCAAATGGAGTGCTTTGTGCTCTGGAAGAAGACTTCAAGTGCAGGTATGTGGAACTGAAACATGCCGAAGATAGCTTTGTTTCTCTTTTTTAAGACTTCTGATGATAGAGGGCTGTAGCACTCAGTAACAAAAAACAGATGTTAAATGAGCTCTCGGAGGAAATAAAGGCTGGCTGCTCAGTCAGGGTTGCCCAGATGCTCCATTCAAACCTCCCCCACCACATTAATACTAAACATTTCTGGTGTTTCCCTCTTAATGAAATTAAAAAATAGCTTGTTAAACAAAAATAAAAATATACACAGAATTGAAATGCCAGATCCAGTTCACAGGGAGATTTGGAATGTTGGTGCCCTCTGAAAGTAAGCCAAGACCGGAGGACAGTGAGGGGTGGCTGTTGCTGCTCGGTGGGCTCAGCCTGCTTCATGTGTTGGAGACAGCGACCGCCTTCAGCACTCTGGCCGGCAGCTGGGGAGGAGCCGGCTGCTGCTGCCGCCCAGGAGTGCTGGCTCCCACGCTGTGAGTCAGGATTGCGTAAGAAAACTCGGAGATGCTCTCTAAGGCAATGCCAGTGATGCTCTGCAGATGTGCCACGACCTTCGGAAACAGACAGGTGCCTGTTACAAGGGCTCAGCCTACTGTAGTTCACAGACACACAGCTTGGGATGTCCTCACATTTCCCTGGACCTACAGGGGAAGTTAAGTCCAGATTCCCATGTTTGTCAGTGGGCCACATCAGGATCCTTTGTCCTGTTAGCTAAAGGCTCACTTGCTGCTGAAAGTAAGCTCTATGAAATATAAAACAGATATTTGGGCCTCTGGGAAACATACTTATTTGAACACAATATTGGGCTATTATGAGTGGAGATGAACAAGCCAACTTTGGGTCTCTAGGCCCAATTGCATCAGCAGAAAATTGGATCCAGACCAAAAAAAAAAAACTTTTGGTCTTGTCCTCGTTTTTTCCCTCCACATTGCGCACACATATCCTAATCCTGGGTCTCGGCACTTATCTTTTGCTTCCCTTAACTGACAGGGAAATGCTTTCAGTCATGTGAATTCTGCCGACGCTGGTCCTGCCCCATGGTGCATACCTGGCTCCAACACTGAGGGGTTTGGATGAATGCGCTTGCTGCAATGATTCCTACTGCCAACAGCATGAAGTCTTCCTTCACTGAAATAAACTTTTCCCTGAGTGATTAAAACCATAATTTTGGAGCTAGAATGAAACTTGATCTTCAAAACCTTAGGTTTATGTTGATTATGCTAAGTGCTTTAACACAGAAAGGAATGGCCCCACATCTTTCCTCCATTCATCTGGGATGAAAAAACATGAGTCTCGTGTCTCATTGGTTTACAGGTTTCTCGTTATTCCACCTGTTTAACTTACAAATGCAACCAAGGCTTCTAACCAATGACTGCAGTCATCAGACACTCCTGTCCAAGTCACAGCCCTTGGGGGAGAGGGGTTTCCTAAGTGACTATAAAAAGTAGTGTAGTATAAGCAGCTATAAAGGAAGACCCGGGAAAGAAATTGTTAATTGCTTGGGGCAATTTAAATTTAAGAGTGAGGGCCCGGCAGCATGGCCTAGTGGCTGAAGTCCTCACCTTGAACATGCTGGGATCCCATGGGATCCCATTTGGGCGCCAGTTCTAATCCTAGCAGCTCCACTTCCCATCTAACTCCCTGTTTGTGGCCTGGGAAAGCAGTCCAGGACAGCCCAAACCTTTGGGACCCTGCACCCGCATGGGAGACCCGGAAGAAGTTCCAGGTTCCTGGCTTTGGATCAGTGCAGCACCGGCCGTTGCAGTCACTTGGGGAGTGAATCATCGGATGGAAGATCTTCCTCTCTCTCTCCTCCTCTCTGTATATCTGACTTTGTAATAAAAATAAATAAATCTTAAAAAAAATAAATTTAAGAGTGAAACCCTTGACTGTTTTCCTGTTTGGGCTCAGTTACAGGTCACCTGCACAGGATGTTGAGATGAGGCCCCATGGTCAAACAGGCCTCACCGTTGTCATTCCACTCCCCCTAAATTCTTATGGCTGTCCTCCATCCCTGTTCTTGGAAGGTTCCAAACCTGTAGGAGTTGCCTTACCCTTGAAGCTGACTAGGTGTGGAATTTTCAATGGAAGCCCTCAGCAGGCTGTCATATATAGGTTCATGCAGGAGATAGACGAGGTCGAGCAAGGTCAAGCAGGTAGGATGCAGCTGTGCGGCTGGGACCAGACAGCCGTTGTAGCCTAGAGGGAGAGTGAGGATGGTGGGAAGCAGGCAGCACATCTTCCCTAATTGTAGCCACAGGTGTCCTGTGACATAAAGCTGGAAAACGGCTCGGGTGCTTCCGGGGTGCTCTGGTCTATAAACAGTCTGTTCAGCAGGTCAGTCATGAAGGACGAAGGGAAAGGTGTACCCCTACACCTCTGTGTGTGCACACAATTAAAGTGTATTTGTTCTCTCTTATCATACTCCTCTATAAAATCAACTCTTTGATCCTGCAGTTAGAGAATGCCTGTGGGTTCAGATAGAAACCAGCTGCTGGGACCTGGAAGCTGCTTTACCCCAGGCATGCAAGAGGGAACACCGGCAGGGACAGGCACTGCCATCACTCGCAGATCCCTGGGCCTGCCAGAAAAGTCTCCAGCCCACCTTCTCTACCACTTGTGATGTACCTAGAACCTCCAGAAGCATCTCCACGTAGGCCAGGGGTGTGGGCAGATTGATCTGGAAGTCCAGAGACTTGAGGACATCAAGCTCTGACTCCAGCAATTCTTCTTTGGTATACGGATAGCCTAGAGCCTGCAGGAAGTTCAGGACTGTGATGTTGCTGATTATCTGGGCAAAGAGAAACAAGATGCAGAGGCCGTCAGGATAAAGCTCCCGGTCCTGGCTGAGCGCACACAGCCCTTCACTGGGCAGTGTGTGCCTTCCCCTCCATGCACGGCCCACGGAATGAATGCCTTGCCCTTCCTCCCTTCCAGCTGGTGCTCTAACGGCTTCCTGGACCGGCTCTCTCTCCCTTCCTCCGCCCCTGCACTCCCTCCTCCATTCCCATCCCCATGACCTCCACCCCCCACACCCCTGCTTCACAGAGGGCACTTCCTTGACTTCCCAAGCCTTCCTTCTCTATTCACAGCACTCTCAGTTTATGCTAAACGGGGTGCTTTTCCACACAATTTGCCTATTCTGAATTTCTTGAGAACACAGGTCATATTTTTCATTTTTGCCATGACACCTGGAACAGTATCTGACCATAGAAGAAACAGCAAGTTTTGGCAGAATGACCGACATCTTACCATATGGGTGCTGGCTAGTGATGTAGGAACATTTTATCCTTTATAAATGGAATGGATTGCCGTTAATGCTGATAGGGATGTTAGCAATTCAGGCTCTTTATGTAAACTGCCCTTGAGTCCAAGGGGAGGAAAGGTGACCTGTGCGAATGATGGCATCTGCCCAGCAATTACACATTGGGAACAGAACTTGAGGCTATTTCGTAACTGCCTCTGTGTGACTGTATGTTTGTGGGGGTGGGGGGTGTGCTTAGGAAGCATAATTGCACTTTGGCATTTCCACCGGAGTTAAGGTGTCCACAGGCCACCCCAGCTCTTTACTTTGTAGTGGAAGGAAAGTTTGCTGGCCAGCTGAACACACGACACGAGACGGAGGAGAAACTTGTTGAAGAGCTGCTCTTTGAGAACCCTCCAGTTCGGAGACCCCGTCTTCCCATTACTGCCCAGCTGCTCAGTGGCTTGCCTGCAGATCTTCTCAGCCTGCTGAACCATAAACCTGGAGGGAAGAGCAGTGGAGACACCTGCACTCACACCAACGGAAGGAAGTGGTCTGACCCAGGAGGGCCTAAGGTGCTGACACCTGTACTATGGACAAGCAGCCCAGAATCACATGGGGCACTTGACTGCCAGCTCATCTAGATCAGCAGAGAATGTCGAGTGCTCCATCAGAGGATGGAAAGCAAAACAGGTTGGACCGTTTTCCTGGTCAAGCTTTGCAGCCAGGGCCAGGATCTGTGGATGCACTAAGGTGGACTTGGTCAGCCAACAGACCTTGGAAAGACTTCCTCAACCCTGGAGCAATGAAGCAGACAATATCTCAGAACTATTAAAACCACTTAAGTCACACCCTTGAAACATTTTTTTCTATGTCGGGGTTTCTAAGGAGCCATCAAAGGACTGTCCCGCATCCCCGGGTGCTTACACAGTTTGACAGCAAGAAGCAGTCCCCTCCCCTTCTCCCCCACCGCAGATACAAGAGGAAAAAGAAAAAAAAAAAAAAACTATCTCACCCACTTTCCTCCCTACCCTAATTGGAGGCTATGGACATGTATCCCTCTCAACAATGTAAGCATTATTAAAAATAAAATAATTAAAAACAGAAGGGAGTCTGTAGTGCTACATCACCTCTTCCCTGGTATCAAATCATACCTGTAAAACGAAATTGGAGTGGGGGGAAGCAGTGCTTTCCGAAAGATCTAGTCATGGTGGCCGTTCTGCCAGGTGCCATTTGCATGGCCTGACATGTAGGACTTTACCTTTCTAGAATTTCTACAGCCTGGTAGCTCACAGATTTCTCCAGACACCATTGTTCAGCCAGCAGGAAAACAAACTCTGCCGAAAACAGAAAAGACAGGCCTCACTCACAGGGAAGTGCAACCAAAACCTCCTTGTGAACTCTTGGTGTCCTGAGGGGGCTGAGGGGTGGGGGTTGGGAGGTGAGAAAGAGGAGATAGAGATGGAAACAACCGGAGCCCACTTCTGACTTCCGCCGCCTTTGCTGTCAACAGGCAGATGAGAGGCATAATGTGGAGCTAGGAGACCAAGACTGACCAAGCCCCCTCAGTGACCCCGAGCCTTCCTCTGGGTCTCTACTCGTAAAAGGCTTGGCCAGAAACACATCAACATGCCCACTGCTGTTCTAACTGCCCTCTGCCCCATGCCGGGAACTCCCAGTTTCAAGGAAGATTCTTGGATAGATAAAAGCCTTCACCCCTATCTTCTGTTTTCAGTGGAATGTTGGCAGGAACTGAAAGGTGCCTGCTGGAGTTGCGATATGCTTTATGACACTGTTTGTTTAGTAACCACCCTTGGAGAACTCCCATCGCTTTCCAAACATGCTTCACCTTACAGCTGGACCCTGTCTCCCCCCCCCCACCACCTCCTCAGAACCTGCATTTTGGGTAAACCTCTGGTGGCTGAGCCTCGCCCTGAGATCAGGACTGTGGCTGTGGAGTGGCTTGTTGTTGCAGAAACATCCCCCTCAACCACGGAACACAGCCCAGGCTGAGGGGCGGGGAGCATCTGGAAGGAAGGGCAGGCAAGCTACCTTGGCAAGATTTTAGCCTGCCTCTGTGTTCCTTTGAAGGAACAACCCCGGATAGTGTTCTGTTTAGCTTGCAACATCATCAGAGGGTAGAAGAAAGAGCAAATGTCAGTTCTCAACAAAGCAAACCCCAGCAGACCCAGGAACTTTTGGCACCAATAACTCAGTTATGCATACAAAATGTTAAGGCCTCAGAGGGAATCTGAGGTAGAAAAAAAAAATAGTGCTGTGAAAATGCCAAGTTAGCATACAACAGTGGAACCATCTACTGGGTATACCACACACATGGTATGATCCCAGAGTGTCAAGGCTCTGCTGGCAATGCCCAATGTGGAGCCGAGTGACTTGAAGCAGATCAGGAAAATCGCCTGGCATGCATAACCATGCAGGATTAGCTAGATGCTCTGTTGGGATGCAGGCCTTAAGTCTTAGTTTTGCTCACTTCAAATAGAGACGGGGTGGTTAAGTTTTAGCTTCCATTTGTATGACCTGCATATTCATTTCTATTTTCCGTCTTAATTCACCAAGAACATTGAGTTTGGGTTGGGTGAGATGGGTGACATTTAAACCTCCCTACTCACTCACAAACTGACCCCAGCCTTGCCCTGCCACCATCTGACTCCAGGGTGCCAGCACCCTGCCATCCCTGCGAAGTTTCTTCACACTTGGCTCACTCTCCCCGCAACCACAGCCCATCACTTCGTCATTCCCTTCCTGATGCTCTGCGCACTGCCCAGCTTGCCCCAAGTCAGCAAATATTTCGTGACCTTGATGGAATAATGACTGCTGATGGTAACACTGAAGCATGTGTAGTGCTGGCCATCATCAGGCCTCAGGCTTGCCTTGGGCTCCTCTCCCTGTCAGCCCCCTGCTGTCCTTCAGGACTCCTCTTCCTACTCCAATCCTCCCAACACAAAATATTTTTCCAGTTCCTGTGTGTGGCTTCCCTGCCCCTCTTACCCTCCAGTGGTTCCTTCTCATCCCCAGGGAGACCACTCATAAGCTCCCATCCCCAGGTCTGACCAACTGTTAATAAAACGTCTGCTAGAAACTTTCTGTAGGTTCTTCAAGTGCCTTAAACACAGCAGGTAGGAAAACAAAGCTACACTCTCTCCCAAACAAGCTCTTTCCTCCCATTTGTTTTTTGCTGTATGCATGCGCGAGTGGTGGGTGTGTCTTAATGGTACCTCTATACTTCCTGTCTCCTAGGCCTAACTTTTCAGCCACCTTTTCCTTCATTGCTTAATTTATCCACAGTTGAACTCTAGCTCTTGTCTCTGAAATGTCTTCATCCTCTTTCATCCTTCTCTACTAACACACTCCTTTGGCCTGGCTGAGGAGTCAAACCCATCCTTGACATCACAGCTAAAACCATTCTTACCTAGCAAAGGTTGCACTCATATCACTCCCTGATTTAAAAACCTTCACTGTCTTCTTGTTTTCCTACCAAACCAAGTTTAAACGCCTCTCTTGGCATTCAGACTTCCATGTGGAATGTCTCCAGGCTACCTTCTGGTCTTCATTCAGCCACTTTTCCACATACTCTGGCCAATGTGGGTTGCACTTTACCCACAGGCGCCCTGGGCTTTCCTATTTGCACAGCTTGACTCATGCTCTGCCCCCTCTTCCACCTCCACCTCCATCAACCAAAATGTTCTCTTTTCCTTGAGGTCAGCCTCAATGCCATCATACCCAAAACACTCCTTTAATTTGTCCCATCACCCCTTCACTCATTTCAGTCTCCATAAAAGCTAAATCTCTGTGTGTGTCACTCAGCTAATCATCTCAGTACCTAGTCACTTGCCAGTTACACTTCTGTTACCAAGCCTGGCACAGAGGTGGAGGGCGAGGACTCTATATGTTTCTAAGTCAATACTGCACTTCTCTAATGTTGAAGAGGAAGGCGCTCCTCACGCTGGCTCACCGCCACCCCCACCCCCGCCACCTCTAAGTGCTAACACAAATTACTCGTGTCAACAGACTCTCATGGTCAGTCCTCAGAGGCAGACGCCCCACTTTCCCATAAATCCAGGTCCCAGCCCGGGGCCACACCCACGATCCGGGTCTCCCTGAAGCTGCCCATCCGGCCCGCGGCCTCCTGCACAGCCTGCTCGTTCTGCTGGGCCAGGTGGAGCAGGGCGTCTTCGATCGTCTCTGTGGATACGGCCCCAAACTGAAAGTCGCTGGGGGAGGTCAATCTAGGCCGCGCAGGTCCATCCATGTTCAGAAGCTTTTTGGGCCACCAGGACTGTTCACTGGACCCGGAAACCGGCCCCCTCAGCTTCTTTCCAGAATTTTCCATCACACTCCTAGGCCTGTCCTCGCCTGTCTGAGGAAAAGCGAGTTCCCGCCTTAACTTAACGAGTCGCCCACACCCTTCTGGCGACCCAACGGCCAAGGTCCCCGCAGCCAATCAGAATGCAGGACTGCTTCTCGCCTGCGCCGCCCTTCTGGTGTTGTCGAGCCTCGGCTCTCCGCGGATAAAGGTCTAGAACCACAACTCCCAGCGTGCTAGGCGGCGATCCAGGACTACGTTTCCCAGCGATCCTCGCGCCGCGGGACTGCGTAGGGCGGCAACATGGCGGCATCGGGAGCCGGCGACCCGCGTGAGGCCAAGAGTAAACAGGCCCCGTTCGCTCAGCGCATCGACCCGAGTCGAGATAAACTGAGTCCTGCGCAACTGCATTTCATGCGGCAGGTGCAGCTAGCTCAGTGGCAGAAGACGCTGCCGCAGCGTCGTACCCGGAACATCTTGACTGGCCTGGGCATCGGGGCCGTGGTGTTAGCCATTTGTATCCGTCCTGAATGTCGATTCGGGGAAGGGGCCCGTGGGGGAAGAGCTTTTTCAGCGTTCCATGTGTGGATGAAGCGGTCCTGCCCTTCCTCGGGTGCTTTTTGAGTGGGATTCATTCACAGTGGCGGCGTTGGAGTCGGAGAGAGCAGCTTGGGTTGGGGAGGATCTGGGAGGAAATCACAGGAGTGGTGGGCAGGTCTTTTAGGGGATGTGCCTGTTCGAGTCGTTTCCTGAACCCGTTCCCCCAGATGGCTACACCTTCTACTCCGTGTCCCAGGAGCGTTTCCTGGATGAGCTGGAGGATGAGGCCAAAGCCGCACGCGCCCGAGCTCTGGCCAGGGCATCGGGACCCTGACCCGGGTGGGCCCGGCGCATCTGCAGCCTGCTGGAGTCCCTTCTCGCGCCCCCGTGGACACCGAAGCCCGCTCCCAGCGCTGCTGGCCTGCCCACCACCCTTGGGTTGGCATGGAGTCAGAGACTTGGACCTGGGAAACCCCGCGGTCCTCACTGCTGTGTGCACTCACTGAGCCCTTCTGGCCATGTGTTTCCTTGTTTGAGAGGTGTGTGACCTTGGTTTTTCTCAGACGTTTCAGGCTTTGTAGTTTACCCGTCTTGGCCTCCCAGGGGCCCAGCTGTTACCGGGGAGGGTGTGGCAGCTCTGCCCCTGAGCTGCAGCCCAAAGTGGGAGAGGTGGGGTCAGGTGAACCATAATAAACTGAATCATCTCCCGGAGTCCAGTGAGTGTGTGGGGGGATGAGTGGAGGCCTGCAACAGCAGTGGCCTTGCCCCAGGGAGCTGTAAATGTGTAACCTGAATAGCTGTTTCAGTGAGATCTTTCCACCCGATTCACCAGGCAGTTTCAAACCCAACCAGATCTTTGGAGGAAGGCAGTTCACTTCCCATCCTCCACCCTCAAGAACACACTGGCACTCACTGCCTTTTCCTAGTCTGGGAAAAGAGAGTGGGGAGGAAGGCTAAGGGACAAGGAGCCTTCGTTGTTTTGAGCTGTCACTGCAGTCTGCATGGACAAGCCCTGGCTGGGCCTCGGAGAGGATCTTTGCTTGGTCAAGTGGATGGCTGACCTTGCAGTGGACTCGTGGGTGAAGGGTGGGCAGCATTTACATCTGCCTCCCACCATGAGAGACCCTTTGGAGTCCTCCCGCCCCACAAGGCCCAGTCCCCCAGCTCCCCCAAGGGTTAAGGATAGACAAGGTGCTTGTTTCCAGCATGTTTATTGGCTGCGGCTGCAGACCTGTGGCTCTGTGATCCCCTCCCCTGTACTCTCCCAGCTGGGAGGGGTCCCTCTACAAGTGTCTAGGCTGGAATGGGCTTGCTTATAGTGGTTGACCCCCGCCCCGACGGGGGGAGGAGATGAAGGCTGCAGAAATGATACCTCCACACAACCAAGAGTCCCCCACATGTCTGGCTCTTCACTGCGTGGAGGAGGCATCTCCTCCTCCTCCGAGCCCCCCTGGCCTTCCACCCCCTCGGGGCTGGGGTCCTCCTTGCTGAGTAGTGGTGGTGGTGGTGGTGGTGAGAGCGGACAAGCTCCATGGTGGGCCCTGCTGTGTGAGGGGGTACACATGGCTTCTGCACTCAATTCACTGGAGGGGAAAAGAGAGAGCACTGAGGAGACTCCCCCACAGAGGGAGGGGGCGGCGCCACGGCCAGTCACCAGTCTCCCGCCCCTGGGCCTGCCCTCACCATCCTGCCAACATCCCCGGCGAATGTCACCCCCTTGCTTGCCCGCTGCTCCTGGGAGCCGGTGCTGCTGCCACTCAGAGAGTTCCTTCGCAAAATGCCTGAGAGCAGGGCAGGGGAGGGAGAGCACCGCATGAGGGAAGGGGGCTAGTCCCCTGGAAACCAACCAAGGGGCAGACCCCCAGGGCCTGGAAGAAAAACTGAGGCTGTAGGGAGGCGTCTCAGGAGAAAGGTGGAAGCTGGGCAGCGGCGGTGGTCTCACCAGGACCCGGGGGCTCAGCGCGTTGCAGGCTGTTGCGGCGGGAGCTGGGGAAGCTGCCCTTGGACAGGCGCCGCTGGCGGCTGGACAGCATGGCAGCTGGAGCCACGATGCCCGGTGGGGGCTGCTTGCCGAGCCGGTTGTACAAGTCCTCAATTTCCTTTTTCTGTACCATCTGCAGTGCCTCCACCTCAGATAAATGCCTGAGGATGCAGCAGGGGGGCGTGAGAGGGCTGGTCCCCTTGCAGGGTGAGGGGAGGTCTCCCATGGTCCCCCATGCACCTCCCACTCACTTCTGCCGCAGGCTCTGCAGCTCTACCCAGAACTCTTCGTCCTCCCCGCTGCTCTCAGACTCCTCACTGCTCACACACAGGCTGCTGCACGAGTAGTTCAGCCACACGGGGCTACAGTAGCTCCCCACGACGGGTGGTTCCTGCCCAGGAACCCCTTCCTCCTCAGCTCCAGCCCCCAGGCCCTCGGGCGCCTGGTCGCTCTCCGCCAGCGTCTCCCTGGTCTCTGGCTGGCCGGCCGCGCTGTCCTCTGTGTCCGAGCTCTCGGAGGTCAGCGGAGGAGGGGTTGGGGGCTTCAGAGAGCTGGAGAGAGACGGAGGCTGCAGGGGGAGCAACTCTGCTGGCTCTCGGGAAGAAGTTACTTGGAATCGCCCCACAAGCTGGGGCTTCGCCTCTGTGGACAGACAGCAGGAGGGGGAGAGAGGAGTCAGAGGGTCTGACAGACCAGAAGGCCATGGAGGGCAGTAATCGGAGAGGTCTCACCTTCAGAGATGGGCGCCAGTCTGGCTTCACCCACGAGGGGCCCATCAGGATTAGGGCAGGTCTGAAAAGGGTGGGCCCATGAGGAAGGAGGTGGTCCCAAAAGGAGCCTCCCTGGTCAGCCCCCTTGGGCTCCAACTCACCTGGCTCTCAGCCGGACTGTGGGCAAGAGTCTCCAGGCCATGAGGGGCAGGGGGCAGGAGCACAGGAGGGGCAGAGGGCAAGCTGGGGGAGGGACACGGGGGGGCCGGGGGAGGCTGGGAGAGGAGCCCTGGTGAGGGGGCCAGCAGAGACTGGGCCACAGTCATCACAGCCAGGGAGAAGGCACTTGCCAGAGAGAGGAGAGGCGCTGCAGTGGTGGGGGGCAAGGGAGGGGGCGAGGGGCTGGGTGGGAAGGAAGTGGGATTCAGTGTGACCTGGGAACAACTAGGAGGGAATGGGAATGGAGAACCAGGTGGGAGAGAGGCCAGGGGAAATGGAGAGGGTGGGGTTGGAAATTGGGGTGCACTGGAGGGAAAGAGAAGGGGGGAGTTGGGTTGCTGAGGAGAGGAGCTTAGGGAGGCCTGGGAGGAGATGGGGCAGTACAGGGAGAGGTTGGGCTGGCAGAGGGGAGAAGTGATGGGGAAGAGGGGTGTGTCAGGAGACAAGGGAGTGTCAGGAGAAGATGGGGTGGTAGAGAAGGCTGCCCAGCTCCTCTGCTCCGCGGAGGTGCTGCTCTGGGGCTCTGTTGGCAAGGAGGAGGTGTTGAGGTTCCAGTTTCTAGGAGTGACCCTGAGTGTTGGCATAAGCAGGAACAAAACCCAGTACATACCACTGCAGAGGTCTGGGAGGGGGCCCAGGAGGGCAGGCAATGGTGCTGGCTCGTCCTGAAGGAGAGAAGGGGGCCCTGGTCACAGGAGAAGAGAGGTTCAGAGTGGAGGTGTAAGCTTGGGGTTCTAACGCTAGGGATTCCTACGTGTGCAAATAGCCATAGCAAAGCAGCACAATATGTACCACTTTCCTCGAGTGGGTCACGGGAAAACAAAAGTACAAGGAGAAACTGAGAAAATGACTATGTGGTAAAACCCGACAGCTGGCAAATTGGGCCAAAGGTGATCTAGGAATTCTTAGTAAAATTCTTGCAAATTCTGTCTGCAAGTCTATTATTTCAAAATGAGCTAAAAGTATGTATTAAACACATTTTTCTAAAACAAGAGTCCATTACTTTCATCACATTCTCAAGTGGGGAAACAGCCAGTATTTTCAAGGTCCCAAAGGTGAAGAGGGGGTGGGGCCAAGGGAGACGGTTGAGGGTAGGTGCTGTCCCCAAGGGGCTGACCTGGGGGCCCGGGGCATCTTCAGAGGCCTCCACAGGGCCGGTGTCTCTCCTGAGCAAGGTCTCCACTCGTTGGATGATCTCCCGAATCCGGCTCAGGAATCCATCTCGCTCCGAGGGCAGAATGAACTCATTGTACACCTGTCAGGGAATAACAGGTGGTGGGGTGACCTCAGGTCCCCAACTCCTCCTCCCTCTCAGCCCCCTCCTGGTCTTTAGTAGCCACACCTTCACACCTGTGCTTCTGTCAATTGCCAGCCAAAAGCAAGTGGTTACTGAATACCTGTTGTGGTCCAGGGACTGTGTGCTGTCTGGAAAAGTACAGCCGAGACAGGATGCATGGACTCATGCTCCAACTAGTTTATGCACACCACGTTCAACACCACTGCCAACTGTGTGGCGTCCACTCCCATGTCTCCATTCCAGAGGCCAGCTAACCAATGCTCCAGGAGGCTGAGTTCAGTTTTCCCAAGGTCATTGGATTTAAACCCAGGTCAAAACTGGAGCCCGAGTTCTTTCACAATCCCTGTTCTTATGAGATTTTAGGACCCTATTACCTAGACCCAGGCTGCTGCACAAGAAAGCTGGAGAGAGGTGGGGATATAACGATGGCACATGTCACTTGCAGGTCCACAAACATCACTGAGTATCTGTGCCACGCCAGGCATCACGATGCTAGGTACCGTGAGGTCCAGGGAAGCATGCACCAAGCCCAGACCTTAGTGAAGTACAAAAACCTAGTCTAGAGGACACCAGGGCACCCACCAAAGGGAAGGCTCTTAGGAGCAAAGTAGACAGGCTATTCCAGGGGCTAATATAATGGCACATCAGATTAATCTGCCATCTGTGATCCTGGCATCACTATGGGCACTAGTTGAAATTCTGCTTGCTTTACTTCCAATCTAACTCCCTGGTAATTCACTTGGGTCAGCAGCAGAAGATGGCCCCCAAGTCCTCAGGCTTCTGCAACCATGTGGGAAACCAGAATGAAGTTCCAAGCTCCTGGCTTTAGCCTGGCCCGGCCCGCTGCCACTGTGTACATTTGGGGAGTTAATTAGTGGGTGGGCTCTCGGCCTCTCAAATTATCTATTTTTTAAAACAGGTAAGATGGTAAATTTCATTATTTTTTACTATATTAAAGAAGTGCTATTCCCAAGAGGGAACAGGTCTTGCCACCTGGGGGAGGGGAAGAGCTGGGACAGATGAGCTTCAGTGCTACCCCTGGAAGCAACCCTTCCTTGGGGAAGGAAGAGACAGCACGTGGTGTAGCCACTTCCAACTCGTCATAGGGTGTCAGGGCATCTTTGCTGGCCTTTTACTGTTAAGCCACTGACATTCCTATAGGTTAGAAGCAGGCCCAAGTTCATCAAATTGTTGAATAATGACTGAAACTCTGATATTCCATGAAAGGCACCCCCTGCCCCACCTCTATCCCATCCTGTCCGTCAAGAGAAGAAAGGGTCCGGCAGAGACACGCCTGAGGAAAGGACACACCTGGCACCTTCCAAGGAGTATTCAGAAACCAGTGTGGCTGGAACGAAGACACGGGGACTGGTGTGAAGCTTCGCATGCCAGGTGAATGACATATGGCAGCAGGTGCTTCAGGCAGTTCCCGAAGCCTGACTTTACTCCCCTCCCTCCCCTGCAGCTCCCCTGCGGCTTCCACCAACCAACCCCACTCAGGAAACTGGCATTGCACCAAGACCTTTCCACAAAGCCTCTGTCTTCATCCACGGCACCTCTTTGAAACTCCCTTCTCGTTCGGTTTCTACTAACATCCGCCTACTTCTCTCTCCATCTCTGAGTCCTTAGGGACCTGTTCTCCCATCCTGTTCTAGAACCCGCAGCCGCCTGCTCAGGTCCAGGTTCAGCTCCAAGGACCTTGTCTGGCTGTCCCTCTTTCACTCCAGCTTATGAAGAGCCCTAACAAAGCCTCACCTCCAACCTCCTGTCTCCCTAGAGGGGCCTGCTCCTTCAGCCTCCAAGCCGCCAGTCACCCTTCACGCCTCCTCTCCCTATCACATCGATTCAGCAAATGCTTAGTGACTGTCCACCAGGTGCACTGTCCCACCGCCACAGGTGTCTGCATTGCAAAACAAGGCACTGGCCTGCAGCGACCCTGAGTCACTCATCCCTCTGCTCCATGGTCAACTCCTTTCACCCATATCTGGTTTCCTGTGTCCACTTCCCAGTGGGAGTCTCTGCCCCCAAACCCCCCCCCAGCCCACATGGTCATCATAAAGCTCACTCCCATCATGCCATCACTGCTAGGATCAGAGGTACCCTGGGCCCACTCTGCTGTCCCCACGTTCACTTCCCATGGTCCCCCTAAGCAACCCTTCCTTCCAGTGACAGGGCTCCCCAGGATGTGCTGCCAGCTACTTGTAATGCCTCTGTCTCTGGCATGCCTTCATCTGACACACCCTTTCTACCTTTGCCGCCTCTCTTACCCTTCTGCTGAGACCTTGGTTGGGTTATACCTCTTCCCTGGCTGCCAACGGCCCATCCTTGCCTGGAGTCACTGTACCACATGTCTAGCATGCGCTTGCCATGCTGCCCTTAGGTGCTATATCAGTGTCAAGTTTCAGCAATTTCTGAGGAGCCAAACCTCAGAAATTCTCCCACTTCTAAAATAAAAGCTGAGTAGTCCTTGGTTTGAGTCCTTGGCTAGGAGCGCCAACCAGTGCTTTTTAAAAAACCCCAGCCATGGGGCCAGTATTGTACATGCCAGCATCTCATATCAGAGTGCTAGTTCAAGTCCTGGCTAGTCCATTTCTGATCTAGCTTCCGATTAACACACCTGGGAAGGCGGCTGATGACAACTTACCTGGGCCCCTGCCACCCATGTGGGAGACCAGAATGGAGGTCCCAGCTTCCTACCCTGACCCAGTTCCGGCTGCTGCATCCATTAGGGCAGTGAACCAGCAGATAGAAGACCTCGCTTGCTCACTCTCTCTGTTATTCTTTCTTTCAAATAAAACAAAAATCTTTTTAAAGAGTTCATCAATCTACTTGCTAGTTTTGCCCCAGCTGTGGGGTGGGTGGCTCCAGCCTCAGCAGAGGGCAGGAGGGAAGCTCTTGGCCCTGGGGCCATTCCGTCCCCATCTTGCTCCCTCTCACCATGGCAGCTGCGATCTCTTCTGGGCTGTCCCCATCCAGATCAAACCGGAAGGTCACCATCTTGCTGTTGTGGGTCTGCAGCTGGCATTCAACCACTCTGTCATTCTGGTCTGAGACCTTCCAGGGTAGCAGAGGGGAGAAAGTCAAGCCTTCTGTCCTCACTGTGTGTGCACCCCCTCCTCCAACGGGCACCAACATCCAGGCTGGGTCTGGGAAGAAGCAGGCTCCACCCTCCAGGTCGCCAGTGAGATACTAGCCAGGTTGCCACTAGGGAGTTGGTTACATTGCCAGTCCCCTTTTCTTGTTGACTGCCTGTCCACCTGAGTCCACCTGACCATACCCTCCTGGCCCTATGGGACACATTCATCTCCTTACATTGGTGACCCGCAGCCGGGATCGGGGTCTGCGCCGGAGATTCCTCCCTGGGGGTCTTTTCATCCGTCCTAGCCCTTCCCCAGTGTCGCTCAGGCCCGATGCTGTGTCAGAAGCATAGCTGGGGGGAGCAACAGGTGCCAGAGAAGGATCATGGCAGAGTCCAATGCCTCAGAACACCAGACAGGATACAACTGGCCCCCAGCTCAGCCCAGAACATACCTGTCCCCAGCTGAAAAGTCACTGCCAAGAGGCCCAGAACATGGAATGGACAGGGCAAACGCCTGAAACAGGATAAGGATTCACAGGGTCAGAAGATAACTGCTGGATCCTGGGGTGCTGGGGAGAGACTAGGAAAATTAGACTGGCCAGGGGTGGGAACAAAAGGACAAGGGTGGTGGATTTCCAAGAACAAGGGAACAGGTCATGGGGCTTAAGGTTGGGCAGGCTGCCTGGGAGCCCACCCCTCCGCCAAGCGACAAACTAACCGAGGGCAGGCAGACTTGGGACTCGGCAGGGCAGGCCAACACCCCGCCAGGGGCCTGCAGGGCAGGATCGGAGGCATCCAGAAAGCCAGAGGAGCTGAGGTAGCCATCTGTCTCGCAATCCGCTGGTTAGGGAATGAATGATCAAGAGATGTAAAGGACAGGAGTAGGAGAGGAGGGCCTGCCTCAACCAGGATGGGGCAAGGAGATCTTCCCAGAGGGAGAGGCCAGGCTGCAGGTGGAAGTGCCAGTGCTGTGAGGCTAGCTTCTGAGTGGGGCATCGGTGGCCCAGGGTCTAGAACCTATGTCTGAAGCTCAGGTGGGACTTACAAGTGGTAGATGAGTAGCTGGCATGACGAAAGAGGAAAGGCTGGTGCTGGTCGGCCTCCGGCTCCTCAGGTTCAGCGGGGAAGGCACTGGGTGGACAGGCAGCCACGGGGACACTTGGTGGTGGAGGTCCTGGCTCTGGGGGAAGGGCCTCCAGCTCCTTAGCTTTACGCAGCTTCTCACGCTTTCGCTGGATAGCAGCAACCCGCTCCCGCACGGCACGGGCCACTGGTTGGTAATCAGCTTCACAGACCAAGCCCAGTGCCACCTGCATTGAGAGGATGAAGAGCAGAACTTGAGGTACCCCCACCCTCAACACACACACACATACACACAACATACACTCCTCGAGGCACCTGGGACATGGGAGGAAGGAACCAGTTATGGGTTACCCACTGTGTCCATGAACTGGTTGGTGACTCTCTGCCATTCTCATCACCAAGTACTCTCTAACACATAGTGAGATGGATCTGCCCAGCCTCAACTGAGAGACAAGGAAAGTAAGGGACTGGTTCATGGTTATACAGTAAGTGGTTCTCAATGGGGGAAGGGGATGTTTATGCCACATCTAGAAACATGTTTGGCTGATGCGACTGGAGGATAGGTGCAACTATGGGGGTGAGAAACTGGGGTTCTTTTCAATCCCCTGCAATGCACAGGACCGCTCCAAGGCAAAGACACACGGAGAGCCACAGTCAAGAGGCCCTGGTGACTAACAGTTCAGGATCTGACCTCAGATCAGGCTGAGTCCAACACAGTCTTGGGTTCATGATCCCCACTCTGCAACTGTCATTTCTCTGTTGAGAACCCATTGTCCTCCCATGCGTCCCATCACCCACTGAACCTAGCTCACCAACTTTTGTTTTTGCATTTTCTACCTCTATTCATGTCTCTCTCCTTTCACCAGCTTCCATTTGCTGCCTCCTAATTGATTTCAGCCACAAGCTTTGCTGGGTAACTAAAGCAAGTGGGTAAGGTGATCTGACTAAAAGTCTCAACTCCTTGGGTTTGTATGTAGCTCATATCACTTCCTTCCTTGGGACCTTGGACAAGAATATACAACCTTGAGTTGGTGTTATGGTATAGCAGATTAAAATATCAGCTATGAAGCCTGCATTCTATACAGGTGCTGGTTCAAGTCCTGGCTGCTCCACTTCTAATCCGGCTCCCTGCTAATGCCAACTCAGAATGCAGCGGAAGTTGTCTCAAGTAGTTGAGCCCCTGCCACACGCTGGGTTCCTGGCTCCTGATTCCTGGGCTTCAGCCCGGTCCAGCTCCAACTGTGGAAGCCATTTGGGGAATAAAACAATAGGTCTCTGTCTAACTCTGCCTTTCAAACAAATAAATCTTAAAAATGATATACAACCTCTCCAAGCTTCATTTCCTCATCAGCAGATTGGACTCCCATGGCTCTCCATGCAGCACTGCCACACAGCAATCAGAGGCAGCCTCAGGCAGTGTTTTTAGAAACATTCAATGGCAGCAGAGTGCTTTGAGTCCTGTTTGGGCATGGGCTGATAATGAGCTCCTACTATGCACCAAGCACTGCCAGGGATGGAAAAATCAGGAAGGTCAGTTTCTGGCCTGAAGGAGTTTAGAATCCAGTAAAGGTGAAAGGCAGGAACGTGGCCAAGCACAAAGCAGACCCGTGTGGGCAGGACCTGCTCAAGCGGAAAGCAGCACTGACATCTGACTCCAGAGGGGGAGTCTCCCTGCGTCCCATGGTCCTGAGGGCTAGAGAGTGGGGAGAAAGACAAACTGCCAAGAAGGACAGTCCAGGGACCAGGCAGCTACATCCACAGTTATGTGTGTTGGCTGGTGCAGGTGACACACTGCATTTGACCCTGCACTGGTTGGCACACACCAAGAGTCAAGTCTGAGTTTACACCAGGCGAACTTTCTTGGGGTAATCCCCGACTGGACTGCTGGACTCGGGGGAAAATCACAGGGTGTGTTGTCTGACCTTGGAGTGCATGTTTCTGGATGGGGCCTCCTCACTTGCTGAGGCCTTTGTGGTGGACAATATGCCCAGATGCAAACCGGGAACACGAAGGCCAGCTCATCTAGGCCAGCAGGGGACATCAAGTGCCTCATCAGAGGATGGGAAACAACAGATTGGACAATTCCAGCCAAGTTAGCAGCATGTTCCTGGGTCCATGGATGTGCTAAGGTAGACTTCACCGACCAGCAGACCTTGGAAAGATTTTTTTTTTTAACCCTGGAGCAACAAAACCAACAATTTCTCACAACTAAACAAAACCACTCAAGTAACACCCTAAGAGCACACTTCCCCACATCGGGGTATCTAAAGCATCAAAGGACTGTCCCCCATCCCAGGGGACTGATGTGGTTTGACAGCAAGGAGCAGCCCTTGCCCCTCCTCCCCTATAGACACAGGAAAAAAATAGGAAAAACAAGTGAAATATGTATCCCACCCACCTTCCTCCATACCTGACCCTCCCCATCCTAGAGGCCCACATGGACATGCAGTCCTCTTAATGATGTAAATGATACTAAAAAGAAAAAAAAAAAAAAAAAAAGATGGAGGTCCCAGGAAAACAGATCTGTAGGAGCCAAAGCAGTAAGAGTGAAATATACACAAACACACACCTGGCAGGCCAGCCCAGGGCTTATCCCGGACGGAACACCGGGTGTGCGAAGGAGTGTAAAAGAGACACCCGCTCAAGAGGCTGGGAGGGGTGGGGTGGGATGGGCAACTCTCCCCTGTGGCACTGGCCATGTGTCCCATCCACGCCCAGCAAACAGAACAATTTGTCCTCTGCTTACCATCTCCTGGGCCACCTCCTCAGCCGCATCCTGGCCCAGCTGGAACAGGAACTCAATGGCCTGGTTGTCCCTTGGGCGTCCCCCACGCCGCACATCTTCCATGCGCAGCCAGAGCTTGAGCCCAGGCTTCTCGCCGTCATCCTCCTCCGCCAGCTCGACATGCACACCGCGCTCCTCGCGGAAGAAGGCATGCGCCAAGAGGTCCTGGATGGTGAACCTGGGGCGGCAGTGTGGCCATGAGTGCAGCCCTCAGCGACCTGTGCACCTGCCCCACCTCGGCCCCTAGCCCTACCTCTCGTTCTTGTTCGTGCGGATGCAGCCTTCGATAATCTCCTTCACCTCGGGCATCTTCACCTTGTAGAAGCTGTTGGGCTTCGTGCCCTTTGCAGAGAGGATCCCATGAGGCCCTCATGGCAGCAAGCAGCAGCCCCGGCGAGAGCTCCCATTAGTTCGATCTTCAAACCCCAACCCCCTCAAGCTTGGGCATGTGACCCTGTCCCAGTGCCTTGCACACTGTGCTTTCTGGTTCAGGAAAAGCAGGGCAGGGGGTGTGTCCTGCTGACCTGCAGGGCGGCTGGAAAGGCCAAAGACCCCAGAGGGGCCATCTGGTGCATGCGCACTACGCATCCACGTTATTCTCAATAGTCTGCGCTGGAAATAGCCTGCGGGCAGGCGGTACAACTTCCTTGTTCAGCTCCCTGGCACCTTAGCTGATTTCATAAAGGACGGGCCCCAGAAAATTGGACGACGGGGTGGGGGGCTGGAATTCCTTCTCCACCCCCTCCATGCCCCTCTCACCGAGGTGACCTTGCGGTAGATCTGCGCCGCATTCTGGCACTCGGAGTACGGGTACTCGGAGGTGGCCATCTCGAGCATGCACATGCCAAATGCATACACGTCCACTGCCTCGTCGTACTTCTCCTCATACATCTCAGGGGCCATGAACTCTGGGGTCCCTGGAGGAACCACAGCAGGAATCTGATGGCCCCCTTCAGGGCCGGATTGCAACCAGGAATGGGCGGGGGGGGGGGGGGGCTCCATTTGTCCCCCAGCTTCCTTAGGGTCTCCCAGTTTGGGGGTCCTCCAAGGGCCTTGTCTAGGGGAGGGTGATCCCCAGGTTTTCTTCTGATCAGGGTTGGCATGGGAGACAGGAATAGCAAGGCTCCCCTCTTGAAAAGACGCACCAATGACGCTCTTGGCAAAGGAGGCGCGCTTGAGCGTGGCCAGACCCAGGTCCCCGATCTTCACTGAGCCCGTGGGGCCAGTGATAAAGACGTTGTCGCATTTAAGATCACGGTGCAGGATGGGGGGCACGCGGGTGTGCAGGAAGTGAAGCCCTCGCAGGATTTGGCGGCTCCAGCGTTGAAGGACTCGAGGCTTCATCTCACGGAAGCGCCTCAAGTACCTGCGGGAGGATGCACAGCAAGGGTCGCAGCGGGGTTTGGGGGTGGAGGGTCTCAGCACAGGGATGGGGATGGAGCACTGTAACCAGGGAGGGATGCTCCTCACTCACTCCACCTCAGAGCCAAAGTTTCTCAGGGTCAGGGAACTGCAGGGTCCTAGAGGAAAGTCAAGAAGGGGGTGTGGTAGAAAGAGCTTACAAAACTGGTTGGTAGGTAAACTCTCAGGTAGGGTCAGGGCCCAGTGCCGTGGGAAGTGCCGGAAGGGATGACTAATTGCCCCTGCATGGGGGAGAGCTTCGCTGAGGAAATAACTTCTGTGTTGCCTCTTGCAGGAGGAGTGGAAGTTCAAGGTGAAAAGTGAAAGGAATGGAGACTTTCCAGACAGAGGAGCCGTCCCAGACAGCAGGGAGGGGAGGGCAAGCTCTTGAACTGGTTTTGTCTGGACTTTAGGTTCAAGATGCAGCTCTACCCTAGAATTTTGTGAGCAAGTTCATCACCATGGGTTTTATTCCTGGGGCTGTGGGAATTAGGGTAGGCAGAAGGTGGGATTTGCCTCTAGGAAAGATTCCCCCGCCCCCGGGCTGCAGTGAATGGAGCCAGTTAGAGGGGCAGAATGGGGCTCCACACCAGTGGCCCGCAAGGTGAGGGCAGAGACCAGGCAGATGTTAAGTAGGGACTTGGACACACTGGACAGGGACAGAGGACAGTGCGGAGAATCTGCAGAAACATCCACGGTCTCAACTGGACTCTTGGTGGGCACAGGTCAAGGAGGTGGCCATGGAAGCCCGCATTGCACCTGGTTGTGACGTTTACAGGGCAGCAGCAGGGTCCTGTCCCAGCCCGGCCCACCCCGCCCAGGGTACAGAGCTCACGTCTTGAGCGTGCCCGAGGTCATGAGTTCGGTGACCAGCACGATGCACACCTGGCCCCTCAGCACCGACTTCCACGAGTCATAGAAGCGTACGATGTTGGGGTGCTGCAGCCCCTTGAGCATCTCCACCTCCTCCGAGAAGCGCTGCCGCTCAGCCCGGGACAGTTTCCGAGTCTATGGGATGGGGAGACAGAGGTGAGGCCTGGGGCGCACATGAGGTCAGGAGCCCATGGATGGGCTCAGGTGAGTGGAGTTGCTCACCCAACAGGGAACAGACTTCGAATTCCCTTGGGCTACTCCAAGGACGGGTCTAACCTGGGCGTAGGGCAACTTTCTTAGACCCCCCTGCCGGACACAAGCCTCTTTATGCAGCTTTTTGCAGCCTGCTGAGCTCAATAGCGCCTTTGTGGTGACTCAGCCAGCAGTGAGGCAGGAGGGGGCACCTAGGGGCTGGCAGCAGGCAGGCAGCAGGCGGACCCAAGGCAGAGCATTGGGGCCAGCAAGGGGTTGGCCCCAGAAACTGGGAACTGCTAGATCCCAGAAGGCAGGAAGACTGCAGAGGGAGGTACAGAAGGAGAGCGAAACTCCAGGACTTGGAACCAGCCTATTCCCACCATGATCATACCCCCTAGTTCCCCAATTTGGCCTTCACCCCCTTGCTTGGCCTACAGCCTTGGGTGTGGTACTGGCAGGCACACAGGGCTCACCACGTCCAGCCCCTGTATAGAGTGGAAGCAATGCCCGGAAGGTCCTTCCAACCACCGCCCTCCTCAAAGTCACGGTTCAGTGGCTCTGGTTCTGGGAAGGGACAGCCCAGGTAGGTAGACGGAGGGATAAGGACTGGATTCAGGCCAGGGCTGGTGCTTCCTGCCCTCTGTCCCTCCTGCCCCAGTGGCTGTGAAGTCCACAAGTCAGCTGGCTCCAGGAGCCAGGCGAGACCCCTTCAAGCCACAACTGCCTTAAGTCTTGTGGAGGCTGAAGGGATCCTAACGCTGTGTGCCAGCCTGCCACTCTGCAAAGACTGGACCAGGCTCCCAACGGAAGATTTCCAAAGGTGGGGGAAGGGACAAGACAAGACATTACAGAGCCAGGGAACTGGGAAGGCCAGCCCCTCCCTGCCAGGGGCGCCTAACCAATTTCAAAGCCTATTTTCTCCTGGGGGGGTGGGGGAGTGTGAAGGGGGTAGAATTTAGTACGGAGCCTTTAAAGAAGTTCACACCCATAAGGGAGCACCTGCCTCAGTTTCTCCTTCAGCAGCCTAGAGGCAGGTCACTGGGGCAAGGAGGGAGGGGAGAGCGTCCGGGCACGGAGTGGAAAAATACGTCCTCTCCCGGAGGCTGTCCTCCTCCCACGCTCCCATCCCAAGACCGCTGGAGGATCCCATCGCGAGGGGTGGGGGGCGCCCAGCCGCACCTGCAGCTCACACCAGGCCACCTCCACCGTGGTGTCGGTGTCCAACCCCCGGTACACCGTCTTGAAAGAGCCACGTCCAATCTCGATGTCAAACTTGAGGTAGCGGCCATCCGGGGAAGTGGCCACTGCCTGGGTCTCTGTGTCCTCCTTTTCTTCCTGCTCTCGCTGTCGTTCCCGGGCCGCGGCATCGAGGATCCTCGGCTTGTCCCCGGACCCTGGGGCGCCTGCGGATTCCGAGAGCTCGGGAGGAGCAGAACCTGCCGCCTTCACGGGGGCTTCCCCGGCCCACGTGCCCTCGGGGAGCTCTTGAGGGTTGGGGGTTGGGCTCGTCGCCCGTTCAGGACCAACCGAGTCCGGAGGGTCGGGGGGCTCCGGAGCGGGCGTGGCTGGCTGGAACCAAGAACTCAGCAGCCCCAAGTCCACAGAGCTGCGGCGGCTGCCACGAGAGGAGCGCGGCCGGGGCTCAGCCTTCCCGGAGAAGCGGCGCATTCGGCGAGGAGGGGGCCCGAGACGTGGTGGTCCCACCGAGCCGAGAGGCGGCAGGGACCGCAGGGCCAGGTCGGCCTCGGTCTGGGACATGGGGACTGCAGTCTCCGTGGTCCGGGGTGCCAGCATGAGGAAGGGCAGGCCACCGCGGGGCGGCAAGCCAGACGGCCGGAGCGGAGGAGGCTTGACCAGCAGACTGTGGCTGAGCGCGCAGCGCACGGGATGAGCCGCCGGGGCCCCTGCCCCCAGCCCGGCCTCCCCGCCGCCCCGCCCCGGTCCCGCCCTGGCCGTACCCCCCGGGGCCGCCCCGTCTGGGCAGCGCAGATCCCAGCAGCGTGCAGCCCCTCACCTCGGCCGCCCCGCCCCCGGCGGCTCCCTTAGGCGGAGCGCACCGCCTTCCGTCTCTGTCCGGGAGACCGCCCAGTGCCCTCTCACATGAAGTAAGGGTGTGCAAAACCTGCCTGTCACAGGGACATGACCAAGACACTAGGACAGACAAGGAGCAGAAATGTGACCCTGGCTCCCAGGCCTTGGTGATTGGGTGGCTAGGGGGAGGGTCCCACTCGCCTGCACACCCCAGATAAGGCAGCACTACTAGGCTAATCTTGGGGAGGGGGGGCCTGTAGCCCCAGGCCGAGCAGAGGTCAGTGAAAAGGTATGGTCTCCTCTGGCCCTTGGTCCGCAGAGATGGGCGTGTGCCTCCAGCACTAGTCCCTCCCCCAAACCAAAAACCCATCTCCACCACCCCGCCTCGACCACGGCCTGGCCCTAGACAGAGTGGCTGTTTTTGCTGTGGGCTCACCTTCCTCCCTCTTTGTTTGCTGAAGTCCCCAATAAACCAAAGTCCGCATCCGGTTTACCGCGGTCCCTGGCTCCCCCTGGCCAGGACTACCTCACCCAGAGCAGCCTGTGCAGGAAGAGGATTAGTAGTTGAGGACTCTCACAGGGGGCAGAATGAGGGCACCCTGGCGGAGGAAAAGTGGCCAGTCCCCAAGCTGTGCTCCATCAACCCTCCTCCACACAGCCCACCAAGCAGATGAATCCCAGGCTCTGGGTGTCCCGCCTCAGGCCTCCCCTCCAGTCACTGGGTCCTCCCGCCCCTCTTCCGACAATCACTTGAAAGGCAGACAGTGGGAGCTGAGATTTTAATATCATAAATCAGTGCCAGGCCCTGCCTCTCCACAGCCAAGTCTGCTCCTGGGCCCTCCAGCCTTCACGCCGCCTGGAGGCTGCCTGCAGCCAGAGTTTCCTCCATCCCCAAGGAGGATCCAGCACCAGCCAGAGACGGGAGGCCACAGCAGCTAAGGGGGGAGGGTCAGAAGCTTGAGCAGGTGTGTGTATGTGTGTGTGTATACACGCATCTATGCTCAGGTGTGTGAGCATGTGTGAAGTGTTAGGTTTTCCAGCCCTGGCTCAGGGGCAGTCTGGGATGGGGGAGGAGGTAGGGCAAATAGAAGCAAGTCTTTTCTCATTGGCATCTCAGCTCATCCTACCCAGGGGACAGACAGACAGACAGATATACAGGTACATGAGAAACCCATCCCTGGGTCCCAGGCTTCAGGACTGGAGCCCTTGTTGAGTCTGGCGGAGTGACAGATCCAGGCTGCAGGGATCCTGGGCCTGCCTCCGTTGGGAAGCCCTGGGAAGGCGGGAGGTAGGAAGTGAAGGGCGCCAGGTGTCAGCTAGAAGAACTTGACGCCTCGGCCGTCATTGATGGAGATAATCTCGGCCTTGTGCTCCTGTTGGAGGGCCTGCAGAGCCCGCAGGAGGGTCGCCTCATCCAGCCCATGGAATTCTGCGCAGGGAGAAGCAGGCTGTCAGGGATGCTTGGGGTACTGAGCGGGGTGGTCTCGCTGTAAGCTCAGGCTGCTTGGAGCCTGGCATATAAGTGTCTTCCCCAAGGGTCTGTCCAGCGCAATTAGAAGAAGGGGTGAGGTCACAGCATATTTTGACACAGCAGTCAAAACGTCACTTGGGAGGCCTGTATCAGAAAGCAGGTTCAAGTCCCAACGACATCCCCGATCCCAGCTTCGTGCTCACTCACGCCCTGGGAGGCAGCAGCAGATGACAACTCAAGCAGTGAGGTCCCCACCACCCACGGGGACACCTAGACAGAGCTGTCAGCTCCTGGCTTCGGCCTGCCCAGCCATAGCCATTATAAGCATTTGGGGAACATCTCCTGCCTCTGCCTCACAAATAAATAGAAAAACTACTTTTTAAATAAATGGTTCAATTACTTAGAAGGCAGAGTGACAGAGGGAGGAAGAGAGAGGGAGAGAGATCTTCTGTCCACCAGTTCATTCCCCATGTGGCTGCAGCAGCTAGGGCTAAGCCAGGCTCAACTCCATCAAGGTCTCCCATACAGGCGGCGGGGGCCCAAACACTTGGGTTCACCTGCTGCTGCTTTCCCAGGTGCATTAGCAGGAAGTTGGTTAACATACAGAACAATGGGGACTTGAACTGGTCCTCTAATATGGGACACCTATCCTGCAAGTGGTGGGTTAACATGCTGCACCATTATATCGCCCCCACCCCAACTGAAAGCTTTTAAGCTATTCGGTTTGTCTTGGCACAAAAAAAATTTGAAATCCATGTTTTTCCCAAAAAATGTATTTTCTGTGTATTATGGGAGAAACAAGTTGCACCAAAATAAAATCATCCTTTTAATTTCATTTTCCAACTTTTGAAGGGTGCTCATATACTTCCACAGCTACCACCCGTACTTCCTGGGCACCCCCTGAGGAGGGAGGGACGGAAGGAGGCCTGGGTCAGCATGAGGATTCAGGCTTATTTCGCCCTCTGGCTCTCCTGTCTGACGCAAACCCCCTCCTACTCCAGTCCTCCTGCTCCCTGCCACTTCATGTCTGCCACACAAGGATGACACTATATGCTTCGGGGCCGTGAGGAAGGGCTCCCTGCAGTCAGGGCTGAGGAGGCCAAGAACCCTGTCAGCAGACATCTGTACAAACGAGAAGGGCCTGTCCCGACACAATGAGGTATGGCCAGTACTGCCAGCCAGGAGACTGGCCAACTTTGGCATTGCTTTCTGCCCTTTGTTAGTTCAAAGGGACAGGGCCGGGAGCCAAGGGCCAGCGGAGTTCCTGGAGATATGGCATGATACTGAAGGAGATGTGAGAGGCACAAGGCAAGCCCCGACAAGCAGCAGGCGAGCTGCGGGGGACCAGCTCCAGTGAGGGAGCCTCCCACTTCTCCCGGCCTGAGCAGTGGGCAGGGCGAAGCTGCCGCGCTGAAGTCATGGGTGCTACTCGTGGGAGCAGCAAGCAGAGGCCTGCAGGGCAGGGGGAGACAGCCAAGAGCTGTGACTATGTTGGGGCAGCCAGGGTCTGACAGTCACCTCCCCAGCCTCCACCTGCCCTGTCCCACTGTCCCCTCAAAGCTGAGACTGGATCACCATGATCCTGGGGATCAGAGGGAGGAGTTAGAAAAGAACTAAGGAGGGGTTCACACTGCCGAAAAATCAAAGGGTATCCGAATCCTTGCCAAACACCAAAGTATTTAAATGGGCTGGGGCTGTTGGCCCAAATTCCTTCAGCTGACACCCGCAAACCTTGAGGTCTTGGTGAGGATAAAGGCTGAGTGGACCTGAGTCAGCAAGCAGCGAGCTTGCCTGCTAATCTCCCGGGCAGCTGCCTCCTTTGCCATTCCCAGCAGGAACTCCTAACTTTCCCTGGGCTCCCACAGGCCCCAAAAATCTTGAACTGAAGACTCTCCCTAGGAAAATGCACCTGCCCTCACTCAAACACCATGAGTTTGGGGCAGGTGAATTCAGGTGGTTTCTAGAATTGCGGGATGTGAATTCAGGGGCAGAGAAACGGAAAGAGTGCGTATCAGTTAGAGCCAGGATGGGAGAGAGGATGTGGAGAAAGAGAAAGGCGTTACCCTCATCCTCTGTGTCTTCCCCATTGGTCAGTTCATACAGGGTGAACACGGAGTTGTTGTGGCCACTCTTGGAAACCTGTGGGCACATCAGGGCTGGGTAAGGCTGAGAATCTCTGGGGTGAGGGAACACTCCCCACCTCCATCTCTTTCCTCCAAGAACTCTGCCTATTTCCAAAGCGCAGTTCGTATCACCTCTGCCAGCGGCCTGAAAAGCACAACCCCTACAGGTGCTATATTTGTATGTGTACACACACCGCCAGGCACCACGAAACCACAGGCCTGCATGTGTCCGTGCACTGACCTCCCCTGGCTGGTTTCCTGTTCAGGATATGTGTGTGTGTGTGTGTGTGTGTGTGTGTGTGTGTGTGTGTGTGTGTGTGTGTGTGTGTGTGTGTGTGTGTGTGTGTGTGTGTGTGTGTGTGTGTGTGTGTGTGTGTGTGTGTGTGTGTGTGTGTGTGTGTGTGTGTGTGTGTGTTATATTTAGGCTGTTGATGCTTCTTCCCTGCTCTTCTCTGCTGGGAAGGTTTGTGGCTAGTGGGGACTAGGAATTTGGGGGCGAGAGTTTTCAGGCCCACCCCCACCCACGCAATTCAGAATGTCTCATTCATAGTGTGGATAGCACCATAATGACACAGTGGAGGAGGGGCCCCAGGGGTGTGTGTGTCTGTGTGTGTGTGTGTGCGCGCATGTGTCTCCCCTTCCTTTCCCCATTTATCTCCTGTGGTCAGAGAACCAGCCAACAATAGCACTCCTGGCTCCCAGGACTGCATTCTCCAAACACAGCCTCATACAGCCTCTGGTCCCCCACAAGCAAAGACAGGGTGCTCCTGTGCACACAGAGAACGCAGGGGTCACACGCAGGGGTCTGCTGGAAGGCCTACACTTCCTCTTCCTGCACCTTCTCCCAGCGGGTTCCATCTCAATCCAGGAACACCAGGCACAGCGACCACCACCCCCTATCCCGGGTCACCGCTCAGTACTCGGCAGCAGGATGGGCTCACCCACTGGTAGATGAGTTTCCCCCATTCTTCCGGCCTCCGCCACATGATCAGGAAGCTAGACTTGTTCTTATCCAGCCACTCGAGGTTCCCTGTGAAACAGACTGATGAAAGCCTCGTGCCCTAGAAAGGGACAAAGAGGCAGACACCGAGGGGTGACAGAGTGGAAGAGACTCTGTTTTTACTTTCCTGTTTGCAAGGCACTCACTCTCTTTTTTTCCCACTTCACTT